GTATAAAAGACCTGTAAAGTTTTACAGACTTGTAGAAAAGCAATTTATGTAATGAAATGTCACATTTGACATATTAATTAATATTTTAAATTTAAAAATCGTTATCTAAAGGTGAAAATAAAAGTTTGTACGTGTCACGCTTTGCAATTAATCTTTACTAGACTCACTAGATTATGGTGTTCGCTCCTGCGTCGCTCACCCCACAAACTTCCAGCTCGCCCGTAAAGATTCATTTACAAAGCTTGACACGTAAATAACTATTAAAATACAATTGTACATACATAAAATATTTATAAAAAAATCTACTTAACACCTACATAAATGGTTATAAAAATTATTTCTTTTAATTTTTAATGATATTTTAAATTCGATTCGATTGCTTTGGATGTGTTTAATTTACTTGGTGAACTGATATTTTTAGTATGCTTTTACTACCTCATGAGGTATCTGCAGATATTTGAAAACATATAGGTTAACCTATAAAGAGTAACAGTCACGGAGGATATGTTTTAGACTTTTAAAACATTGTAAAAAATAATTAATTGCGGTTAAAAATCTGGAACCTGAGCTGTAATATCTACTTAATTATGAAAGATCAAAACACAATAAAAGTGTAGGTCAAACTCATCGGGGGACATTTCGTGAGATTTACCCACATATATTATTTATTGAATTATAAAAATTGGTAAATGCAAAAAAATTATACCCTAAAAATATTTTGCCAGTACCTTTTCCGGTATAAGGGCCCCTGCCAGATTTTTGATACGAGGCCCCCTTAAGGCTAGCTACGCCACTGATGGGGATACCTAAAAATTAACCTTGCTTTAAAAGAAATAATAGTAAATAAAAAAACTAACCTAACCAAACATGCCTCCTTAACTGTATTTTGATTTTTCCCTAGTATTGCCATTTGAGCAATTAATTTGCTTCCTGCCGATATTTTCACACCACACAAACAATTTCGCCAATTCTGGTATCTTCCCTATTTACAGGCAATGAGGAGAATCCCGGATTAGTATATTATTTTTACGTACTTTCGACCTACGCCACGAGTCCCTACCATTTGGCAACATCGCTGGGTCTCGGGACGTTGGTTGAATATGGTTATGCAGTATAAACGGGCGCGAGAAGTCGGTAAAATGATGCGGGTTTAAAACGTGTTATTCAGTTTGCAACTTTTTTTGTAAAAAGAAAATGTTTCCCCTTGAAGCATGCTTATTGAGTTATATTCTTTAAAAGCTTATTTACGGTTTATATACTCGCCTAAATTACCTGGATCAAGTGGGTCTTAGGTAGCCTGTATAGTGTACCGGGACTGAAAACGTGGACCGGATAGATATATATATATATTGTTTCGTTAAAAAAATCTATAAAATTAGTTTTTGCAAAAAAATATTTAAGCACGGGCTATAAGTTTATAAATTATACACTCTAGCACAAGTATTGTTAGGGGTTCCTTATGTGTTAATAACAATTGTAAATGTTGTATAAATAATTATTGTAAATGTAAATAAAAATAACTTTATTGGAAAAAAATATGTCATATGTATAAATAATACTAGGCAACACTGTAATTAATAAACTACCACTACAAAATATCCTACCGAGTGCGCCATGAAATAATAAACTAATAAAATACAAATACAAACGAAATATACCAGAGTAGGTTAAAGAGTAATTTATTAAATTTGAAATTTAGGGGCGGGAATCTTGAGATTGACCCAATATTTTGCGATAATTGCATTAATTTGACGTGATGCGCATGCGTTTCGCATGCAAATTAATGCAATAAATATATTTATGTTTATTTCGTTTGCATCGTTGTTTTGTTAAGTTTTATTCAAAATGTTTTAATAATTGTTTTTTTATTTTTTATAATGGACAAAGAGTGTTTTGTGTTGCATTAATTTTTCTTATTTTACCTTTATAGTCACTTTAACTTAACAACTAACTAACTTTACTATTTAACTACCTAAAATAAGTAGCATTGCAAATATCGCCTACTGAGAAAATACATGTCCCCAAAATAGTTCGCATCTATATGACATAGGAGTTCCGAAATGCGAATATTCGTATTTTGCAATTAGCATTTTCCAGTTTTTCACAAGATCAGAAGAAAAAGATAAAGGTAGCCAGCCGATCGGGAATAAAAGTAAAGAAAAATATATATTTATAAATTTAATTACATGTGCCAAAAAATTTACAAAAAAAAATTTATTTTAGAGTAGGCACTTATTTATTCATGGTAAAAAAATTGGAACCGAAAAAAACCGTATGGACCGAAAATATTGGTCTGAACCGGACAGAAATATTTATTTTGGAACCGTAACTGAACCCGAACCGAAATTTTTCGTTTATCTCGGAACCGTTATTTCATTTGGGTCCGGGTCCCTGAAGAGAACACCATACTGTTGATCTAGATCATATCTTGGCACAAGAAAACACCATGGATCATTTATCATATTATATTGTTATCATTATCATATCATATTATCCGCAGCCGTCCAACCCAGGTCTTCTGACGTCATTTCAACGTCATTTAAACGTCAGCAGACGTCAGTATGCTACCTGGGAACTGTTGGACTTCAACATGTAAACCAATAAACAAATGTGCTGGGTTGACAGTAATCATTCCCTATCCATTTGGGTAAAAAACAGCAAATATGTTTTAAATGTTTTCTTTTATATATCAAGTTTTTCTATACTAAAATGTCTGTAACTCTTTCAAAAATGGTCAAATTTGGACTAAATTTAATGTTTACTCTTAAAACTGACCATAATTATTATATCCAAATTGCGTATTCATGCTCACTTAAAATAAGAAACAAGGAATAATAAATAAGAAATAAGGTCGCGATTGATCGTTCAAGCTGATAAGTTACTAATGACGGCAGTGTACATGGTTATCTGTATTTTAGTTGTTATTGATGTCGCATTATAATATGTCGATATAGTCTATGTCACGTTACCTACGTCAATTTGCGAGTAAAGCGTAGATAAAATAATTTTATCTACGCCAGTGAGATAAGAACTTCTTATCCCACTCATTTTGAGTGAGATAAGAAGTTCATTAACGCACGCGTTTTTCTCTGCTTTTAACCAATCAAATAAAAAAGTCCAAATGTCAAAATAACCCTAAATTAAGTCTTAGACAAAAATAATTACCGTTTATTTTTTCATTTAGAGGCGTAGATAAAAATTTGTACAATATACGTGTGATAACGCTTTATTAACGTACTTTTGCGATTGCCCAACTCGTGCTACGCACTCGTTGGGCAAATTTCGCATGCGTACGTTAATAAAGCTCTTATCCCACTTATATCGTAAATAACTATTATCTACGCCAGTGAGATAAGAAGTTCATTAACGCACGCGTTTTTCTCTGTTTTTAACCAATCAAATAAAAAAGTCAAAATGTCAAAATAACCCTAAATTAAGTCTTAGACAAAAATAATTACCGTTTATTTTTTCATTTAGAGGCGTAGATAAAAATTTGTACAATATACGTGTGATAACGCTTTATTAACGTACTTTTGCGATTGCCCAACTCGTGCTACGCACTCGTTGGGCAAATTTCGCATGCGTACGTTAATAAAGCTCTTATCCCACTTATATCGTAAATAACTATTAACTTTCTCTGTCAGACGTACGAAGTTGAAACTTGACGGACCGATAAAATGTCATAATTTTCGAATTATAATTGGACCAATAAGAGCGCTCCCGGATGAACGGACAAACGGATACATGAAAATTAAGCTTAACACAAAACACAATAGGTAATATTTTATTACAGTAGGTTATGTATTGGTTATAAACGTAAACGACAGCGACACTCAACGCGAACACATAAAACCAATTCTCAGGCCTATTTTGTCCTTCTGCGCAGTTTTATACGCAAAAATAAGAGCCAAAGTTAAAAGTTATTTATCTTTAAAGCCGGGTCTACAATTGTCGCAGGTCGCAGAACATAAGCTTGCGCAAAGCACCCATCTGACAAAAGAACCTTGCTCCATCGCCACGTCGCGGGTTGCTTTGCGCAAGCTTATGTTCTGCGATCGGACCGCTGCGAGAATTGTAGACCCGGCTTAAAGGCGCATTCATGCTCACCTAAAATAATAATAAGAAATAAGACTAAAGATAAATAACTTTTAACTTTGGTTCTTATTTTGGCGTATAAAACTGCGCAAAGGACAAAATTGGTATGTGAATTGGTTTTATGGGTTTTATGTGCTGGCCATGGATCCAGGGGCGTGCTGGGCCGCCGGGAGAAATCCCGGTGGGCCGGAGGGCTAAGTGGGCCGGTCTGCCGGAGGGCTATATAGGCAGCATGCCGCAGCACGTGGTCTATTAAAAACTTTTTTAGTTGAGTTATGTATAAATATCATAATTATTTTACACATACCATGCATGCCAGCCTGTCAGCTTTGTTTCTTTTTTCAAGATTGTATATTGTTTTTATAAGTTTCCTGAGCGTTGATAATTTGTTTTAGTTTTTATTTTAAGTGCAATGCTATACGTTTTAGCATTGTGTAAAATATTGTCTGGTTGTGTTTGTTGCCTGTTTTTTTTCAAGAATTTAATTTATACATTATATTATTAATTATTAATATATTAATAAATGTTTCAAATTTTTTAACTTGGTTTTGTTTAACCCCCATTTTTCGTGTGTAGTTGGCCGATTTTTCTGGATTTCCCGGGCCGGTCTTATATAGCCAGCACGCCCCTGCATGGATCCATGGTGTTGGAGATCGCGTTGAGTGTCGCTGTCGATTGTTTACGTTTATAGCCAAAATATAATCCACTATAATAAAATATAATTGTGTGACAACATTTTTCATTTCTTATGTTATCAGAATGAATGATTAATCGCGATCTTATTTCTTATTTTAAATGAGCATGAATACGTCTTAAGTCTTATTGCTTATATTTTATTTTCATGAACACAACCATTACTTTATTACATTAACTTTTTATCTAATGTAATTTTTATTGTTTTTTAGTATGCATTGCGTAATTTTAATGTTGGAAAGCGCTTTATTCGGGATGTTTGTGGCAGCTATATTAGTAGACCAAATCCAGGCAATTCTTAATGACGAGACAGCAGTTGAACAAGTCCAACATCAAGGACCTTATCGAGCACATAAGGAAAAAATGGCTCTTTTGATGGAAGTTTGTGGAAGACAGCATCCATTTTTGTGGCTTTTGCCTTGTTCTGGGGTTCCCAAAAAGCACGAAAAACTTATGGTGGATTACCACATTGTCTGAGGTTTTTATTTTTTATCGAGTGGCCAAGATATTATTATTGTAAGTGAAAATGATGGAATTATAGGAGGGTACAAATTATATTTTGATGTAATTGATGTGCTTTAATGTGTGTTTTAACATAAAAATCATTTTATTTTTTGTATTTTTCATTGTAGATGTCATTCACATTTTTTATTTGGTTCTCTCTAATAAGCACAAATTTAATAAAAGACTGTTTAACTTAACACTGTTACATGTATTTATTATTTTACATATCAAAGGCAATATATCTGTACCTATTAGAATTATTATCTTTTAAACAAACTATATTAATAACGTATTTATTTTTTTTACTTACCTTTAATTTAAATTTTAGAGTAGGTAGTGCATATTAAGTTTTAAAACCTTTTATAAGTTGTTACTGTATTTAGTAAAATACTTTTATATTCCTAGTCTTCAAGTACATATTCCACTTGTACATATTTTATTTAATTTTATATATCATAAAAAAATAAAGAAGTATGGTATGATTTGTATTTGTGTTATTTCTTCTGGATAAAAAATGATTCTATTGAAATAAATTTTATTTACATTTAGGTATAAGTTACAACTTAAAAAAGAACTATTTAATAGTTATAAATTAAAATTCAGTATTTATTCAACATTGGAAAATAATATAAAACTTATATTGTATAGTGTCATATATTTTACAAAGATATTTATCGTTTTTTTATTCTTTAATATATTTTGATATATTTAACTATTTACGTCACTAACGGTACAGTCGGGTTAATTCTTTTAAAGCGTGTGTTACCGATTTTGAGGTGTCAGATCTACAAAAGGAAAAAAACATCAAATATAAATTTGCAACTTATTGGAGCGATAAAACAATCAACATACCTCGTAATAGATGCGTGTATATCTTTCAATTGTTGCGGCGTTGCCGTAACTATACCACCGTTACTTTGCACCGGCAACTGATCTAAACCATTTGCCAGCCATTTTCCAGTTGTTTCTCTGTTAAAATCTAATAATTGCACAAACACGTCAGCCACCTGCAAGAGTTAAGAAAAAACAAATTTCAGATTATATGGATTTTAATCAAAATTTATAGATTATGATTAGGGTTTTAAAGTGACAAAAAAAACTGAGAAATTGGGAGAAAAACCTGTTTTTTTAGTTTTTTTCAGGCCTTCAAAAAATTGTTTTTTTAAATATACACATTTTAATAAAAGTAGCAATCAACAACTTAACATTATTCAGGCCAATTCACTAACATGAGTCGTTAACTTTAGCCCTTAGATCAGTGGTTATCGGCCAATCCGGCCAATCAAGTCGATTAAATATAAGGTAAATCACTAATTCTAGTGGCTAATGTTAACGACTCGTGTTAGTGAATTGGCCCGATTTTAATTTAAAAAATATCGTTTATTACAGAAAAAAATATAACAAAATACAAATTGCCTCTTCTCATGGAAGAGCCTTACATAAAGACAGGTAATTCGTCTTCACTGTCATCCTCTGATAAATTACAGAAAAAAATATAACAAAATACAAATTGCCTCTTCTCATGGAAGAGCCTTACATAAAGAAAGAGGTAATTCGTCTTCACTGTCATCCTCTGATAAATTTAAAATTGTCTCGATATTAGTGTATATTACCGGTAAAAATTTAGAAATTTTCAGAAAAATTGATTTTTTTGTATTACCCTTTTAATAAAATGAAGTCCATTATCTAAAAATTCCCAAAATTTCAGTTTTTGTCCGGAAAAAGGTGCTTTTTTCCGCCGGCTCTTTTTCCGGAAATTTTAACACCTAATAAATAAAAAGTAATTTATTGATTTTGATCGCGGTACTTTAAGAAAATATGAATTTTGATCATGGGCTCAAATGAATGGAAATTTGTATGTACAGTCGAATTTAGGTGAAAATGGATTTTGATCACATTTCTTTAAAAAAAGTATGGATTTTGATCAAAGGCTAAAATGAATGTAAATTGTTCATACGATCGTATTTTAGTGATAATGTATTTTAATCACAGTGATTTTAGAATTTTAAGGATTTCGATCAAGTTCTGTGGATGTAAAAGTATAGATTTACGTACCTCGCTAAGCATGTAGGAGTGCAGGTAGAAGACGCACGCGTGCAGCAAATTGTTGACCAAATTCTGGCCGTACTCTTCTAAAACGCGATGCACGAGGTCCTTGCGTTGCTTGTAGTCGGCCTTGGACCGGTCGGTCTGCGCCTGGTTGATCAAATCGTAGAAGAACTTCATCACCGACATGTTGGCCTCTTTGTGGTCCAAAGAGGAGGCTAAAAGTGCGCACTGCAGGATGTGCACCAACGAAGGGCACTGCAGGAACGCCACGGGGGCGCGCTGCAGAAAACGGGCGCACAGTCTAACAGAAAAAATGTTAAAACTCGTTTAAAGAATGTTAATTTTTTTTTAAAACAATTTTCTAAAAATGTGCAAACCCACAATTATTCTGCAAAAACGTTAAAGTGTATAACATTTATTGGGCAAACGTTTTTCCCAAAAAAGTCTAATTCTTACCTGAAAAAGTCATCAACAGTATCCGGATGCATCCTTAAACCATTCTCTTCCTGCAAAACTAGAAAAGTCGGCTCGATAAAAGCGTGCAACATGTCCAAAAGCCCTTGCACGCAGCTGGCATCAGCGGCGTACTCATCGACCAAAATGCTGCCGACATACAAAAAACACGAATGCTTGAAGTGCGAGTAGATGCGCACTATTTGCCCCACCAAGCTCTCCAATATCTCGCGCACCTGCTGGCTCACGCAGCGCAGCATAAAGCGAACGCTGCGGCAACAGCGCTCCATTATGCGCAGATCGGAGTCGTACTTATCAAAAGTGCGCGATAAAATCGGCCATATCTCCAAAACTACCTCTTTGCACGGATGAGGACCATCTATAAAGTTAAAAGGAGATATGACAAAGTTGCAATGCAATAAACGTCAAAATATGACGAAAATGTCAAAATAAACGTCAACTATCAACCTTGGGTTGTGACATTAATATGTTTAATACATTTTAGAATGTTAAAAATGTATTTGAGGTAGTATCCCCATTTGAAGAGTTTGATAGATAAATAACAGTAGGCCGTGAAAGGCTGTCACTGACTTGCTTTCAGCGGTGCCAATGTAGTAAAATTAAACGTTGTATTTTAATTAACAAATTAATACTTCACTACACATTAAAAACTACAAACAACTCAAAAAATTAATAAGTAACAATATAAATTGTTAATTTGTTGTTATAATGGCAAAATTCATCTTTTTTGTTTCTTAAGTTGGCAGTACAAAATTTTAAAGTTAAAAAAATATATATATTATTTTTAAATGTAACTCTAGAGACCGAACCCGAACCCTTTAAATTTAAAAAGGTTTTTTAGGTTATTTTCGGTTTTTTTCTTAATTTCTTTTTGCAAAAAAAATATAGGTACCTATATTTTGTTTGGTTAAAAACTCTATAAAATTAGTTTTTGCAAAAAAATATTTCAGCACGGGCTATAAATCTATAAATTATACACTCTAGCACAAGTATTGTTAGGGGTTCCTGCTGTGTAAAAAACAATTGTAAAAATTGTATAAGTAATTATTGTAAATGTAAATTAAAATAACTTTATTGGAAAAAGAAAGATGTCATATATATATATATATATATACATATTACTAGGCAACACTGTAATTAATAAACCCCCACTACAAAATATCCTACCGACTGCGCCATAAAGTAAATACCAGAGTAGGTTGAATTCTGATTTATTGAAAGACTGGTTTGTCATATTTATTTATTATTTTTATGATGACTGGCATGGGTGGTAGGTACATTTGTCGTGGGGATTTATTAATTACAGTGTTGCCTAGTATTATGTATACATATAACACCTGCAACACAAGATCAAATATAAAAGAAAAAAATTTAGAGGAACAATTGTTTGTGAGAACCAACATAATTTTTGAAGAAAATAAGAACAAAAGCTGAAAGTTTAGTTCTTTATTTTTGGATAACTTATTTTAAATATGAATTTTCCAGTTTTTCAATCACAAGATCAGAAGAAAAAGATAAAGGTAGACAGCTGATCAAGAATAAAAGTAAAGAAAAAGAGAATGAAGAGCCTAAAATTGAAGTACCTGATTTGAAAAAACAAAAGAAGAGATAAATTAATTTAATTACATGACATGACATTTTATAATTTAAGTACCTACTTAAATATACTTCTCTTTACATGGTAAGAAAATTGGAAACGAAAAAACCGTATGTACCGAAAAGATTAGTCCGAACCGGACAGAAATATTTTTTTGGGAACCGTAACTGAACCAGAACCGAAATTTGTAGTTTCTTTTGGAACCGGACAGGAACCGTTATTTCATTTGGGTCCGGGTCCCTGGTTTAAACAAGATTTTTTGAAAGAATGTACGGAAAACAAAACTTATGCAGAAGTGTTATTCGCACAGATTTTCCATAGACTTTCAAAAATTCGTTTTCAAACTTAAGAAACAAAGTAGGTTAAGTTGATGCCTTAATATTGATTACTTATTTTTGTATAGAAATCTCATGAGACAAAATAAAAAATGGCGTTTGTACCTTTAAAAATTATTATCTTGGAATCTGTGCAGTAAAAAAATCTAAAATTATTTGCGAATGTGTCTGTTGCCTCACAAAATCATATAATACATTTTGAAGACATTCTATGGAAACTCTTTAAATAAATAAAATAATGGAGATACTACCTTAAGGATGGCATAAAATATTTAAAAATGTTAAAAAGGAATCTATGAATGTCAAAATAGTATGTAAAACTTGCTAATATGTGTCCAATTTTGACATAAATGTCAAAAAAAGTTCTTTACATAAGTGTTGTTAGGACGCCGTGGCGACTTTGTCAAACTTACCGCTTTGGTTGTTCTTGCAGCAGATGTGTCTAAGTACGGAGCTGAGTCGATCCAACCAGAGTACAGGGTCGGTTTTGGTGCCTTTTACAGGAACCACGTCTTGCTCTATAAGCTGACAGATCGGGTTCATTTGCATCGAACATAATTCTCTAAGAGCGGTGGTTAGTTCAGGCGGGTTCATGCAACCTATTATAGAGGCGACACCTAAGAAAAACAAGTTTTTATTTTATTAAATTAAATGCAAAACAAAAAGTTGTCTTTTTCAATTTAAAAATGTCAAGAACAATTTAAGAATGTGAAAAAACATAATATAAGTAGTGTTGCTAACAAGGAAAAGTGCGATCGAAAAATTTGAAAAGTTTGTACAACTTTTGAAATGTTGAAATAAACTGCGCACCACTCAATGTGTCGCGACCAAAAATTTCGTCCTTTTTCAAAACGACATAACTTTTTTGTTTCTTGAACGATTTTATTTTGGTTTGTGATGTCTGCTAGCCCCATTCTCTGGCAATTCATGCTATAGATATGAAGCTCACGGTTCTTCAAGTAAATTTACTACAGGGTGATATGTAAAACAGTGAAAAATTTCAATAACTTCATCCAAGCCCTGTTTCTAAAATTAATATTTTATCTCCACGCGGTCTATAATTTAAACTTTATTGTTGTCAACATTCGATAAAGAAATACCTTGTTATGGCCTAGGCCGATAAAAATTTTTATGAGGCAAGTAATTAGTTTGATTTTTTCTCGCTAGGGGTATTGTTTTGACAAATTAATCCTTTTCTAAGAAATTAACGTACTAAACTGGTTTAATTTATTTATAATAAGCACTAATTTGTTTGTTTTACTGTTATAACATTATAATGTTTAATATTTTTCATTAAATTATTGTAAAATTAAATATGAATAATAAAATAAAAAGTGAGGTTAGGACATTGCAATTTGACGTTTCACAGTTGTGTTTTCTTTTTCTACGATTTAAATTATCTTTAAATTTTAATTTGCTTTAAGTTTTCAGTAAAATTAAATGTTAAACACAGCGTAAACATTCCAAACTACCTATTTTTTAATAAAAATGCAAACAAATTGAAATTAGATACCTATTAGGTACCTATTTATTAAACAATTAATTGAATTCAATGTAATAGCAAGAGGGTAAGTAAACCATTTTCTTACAAAAATCCATTTCTACTTAAATCATGTAGCTAGGTATTGCAAACTATTACTGCTTCTAAAAGGAATAATAATTATTGTACATTTAATGTAATCTTTAGCTAATAAATAAATGAGATTAAAAAAAGTGAGGTTATGCCACTTTCATGTTGAATTAAATTGACCTATATAAAGTGCTTTGAAGATAAAATGTTGTATGCCATTCGGCCAAGAAGTGTCTTTTTGTGCTTCGCTCAATTGTAGGCCTCCGCTACGCGTCGGCCTTCAAACTTTGAGCTTAGCACAAAAAGCCTTACTTCTTAACCTAATGACATAAATAACTATTATTTTCGTTTTTACTTTGAAATAATGAAGTATTATGTCTTACCTTGAAACGTTTTTCAAATTTTTCGAATTGGAATCTTAGCAACAAAAATATGATTTTTTTTTCAATGGAGTACATTTGATGCTTGTTTGTAGGCAATACACTCAGCCTTTTTAAGAACAAAAAGATAAGATGTTGAAAGATTGTTCCTTGAATAATTCTGAACAAGCGACAAGCAACAAACTTCCATTATTTTCAGAGGAACCTAACCAAAGACCACTTTTTCAAAATGACATTTTGGTGAAAATTTTCGAAAACTAAACCTGAACCGATATTTACGTTCGTGACTGTTTGCTTTAAAATTTTGACCTCCTGATGTGATTCAGTTGTCAAATTTAAGTTTTAGATAAAACCAAAATCACCAAGAATCAAAATTCGAAAACAATTCCCCAAAATTTGTTTGTTTATTTTTGAAAATTTTATGCGAATGCAACATTCAACAGAAAAATGTAACAAATAATAACAATAATAACTTTCAATATTTCGTTGGCCCTCCCCTAACCCGTAATAATTCATAAACCCTCCTGGGCATTCCCTAGACCAAGTTCCTTAGAAATTCCAATTCATCGTAAATATCGGTTCAGGTTTAGTTTTCGAAAATTTTCACTAGTAATACCACTAGAGGTCAAATTATTTCCGGAAATTTTTTCGAGCTCATGAATATTTTGAAAATTATCCCGAGTCGAAGACGAGGGATAATTTTCTAAAAATATTCATGAGGGAGAAAAAATTTCCGGATTTAATTTGACCTCGTGTGGTATTCGGTAAGAAAATTCCACACCAAATTGTGTTTAAATAATTAAAATTTATTTTTTGATTTAACTTGACCTCGACTTGATTATTTAGTTACCATGGCAACTAAGTCAATCCCAACCTAAAAGTTATTTCAATTTTGAAGCTGTCAAGCGGCACGACGTAAAAAAATGTGAAATTGTCTGCTGTAATGATCAATCATCGTGCAATGACTTATTTACCCGCATTATTAGAGGATTGTGGCTCCTTCTTGAAGAAAGAAAATTTGTTTTGAATTGTTCACGAATATTTGCATCTTAACTATTCAAAACTCAAAGTGCTAAATGGAAAAAAGGTGAATAGAATAATGTCTAAATATTATATATATTTCATTAGACATAGACATTTAATTTATTTCAATTCCTGCATTTTCGCCATTAAGAAGAAAGGAGGTGTCCAACGAATATAGAAAACATCTAAACTTTGTAATGGAAATGTATCAAAATTATCATGTAAACAAATAAAAACCAGATTGTCAAAAAAATATTCTGTCATTATAAACGTCAAAAAATTTCCAGTATAATTCGCTGTTGGGTACCCACGAGGAAAAAATTTCCACTAAAATTCAACCGTTGCCATGGTGATCTATCAAAAATACACGTTTTGATTGGTTAAAAATTACAGGTGTGGAATTTTCACTAAAATGTCATTTTGAAAAAGTGGTCTCTGAAAATAATGGAAGTTTGTTGCTTGTCGCTTGTTTAGAATTATTCAAGGAACAATCTTTCACCATCTTATCTTTTTGTTCTTAAAAAGGCTGAGTGTATTGCCTACAAAAAAGCATCAAATGTACTCCATTGAAAAAAAAATCATATTTTTGTTGCTAAGATTCCAATTCGAAAAATTTAAAAAACGTTTTAAGGTAAGACATAATACTTCATTATTTCAAAGTAAAAACTAGAAAAAAATATTTTTTTTACAAACGGGGCTTGGATGAAGTTATTGAAATTTTTCACCGTTTTACATATCACCCTGTAGGAAATTTACTTGAAGAACCGTGAGCTTCATATCTATAGCATGAATTTCCAGAGAATGGGGCTAGCAGACATCACAAACCAAAATAAAATCGTTCAAGAAACAAAAAAGTTATGCCGTTTTGAAAAAGGACGAACTTTTTGGTCGCGACACATTGAGTGGTGCGCAGTTTAGTTGGAAAAGTATTTTTTTTTAATTTGAACACATACATTGTAGATAATAAACTGACAATTGTAAAAAACTTTTATTTTTTAAATTCCGGACATAAATAACCAAGAAAATTATGTTGTCCATTTTAAGAAGAAACATAACATATAACATTGATCTTATCTTATGGTAAAAACATAAAAAACTTTTTACTTTATTATTTTTAAAATATTAATTATAACAGATAAACGATATTTTATGCAATGACACAATGACCTATGGACAAGTACAAATCTAGGAATTCCTGAAACTATTTTCTCTTACAATTAGTTTTAATCATTGAGATAGAATTTTATCTTAATGGTTTAAATAGAAAAGGGCGCATGATAATATAATAATTATTCGACCGACAAACAAGACAAAAATATCACAAATAGTTATGACTCTTTGACTCTTAAAAAGTTTCAAAATTTTTTTGAGGTGTCTTCTTACTTTATAAAATGGATATGTCTCCGACTGATGTTGCCAGAGCTATTAATTTAATCCAGGATGGACGGTCATAGTATTACGTGGCAAGTGTTTTAAACGTCATAAGAAGTAAAGTACAAAGGGCAACATCAGTCGGAGACATTTTTAAAAGTAAGAAGACACCTCAAAATTAACACATTAATTTACAAAAAACAATTAAATAGCTTTTTTCTAATAATATCTATTAAGGAAAAACAAATGTTTCTGAAAAAAAAAACAAAATTATTGAAAAAAAAACAAACCCCTTTGTTTTTATCTAAAAAAACATGTTTAAAAAACAGGTTTTTTCTGTTTACATCACTAGAAACAATACAAATTAAGAATTTAAAAACACATTAAAAAAAGACAAAAACACCGTAAAATAGGAATGCCAAAACACTATTAAAAGAATGTCAAAGCAAATTAAAAAATGCCAGAACACTACAAAATAAGAATGTCAAAAAATATTACAGAATTCCAAAAACACAAAAAAAAAAAAATTACTTACCTTTAAGTAATCCTATGACTGCGTTGTTGGTTATGGCAAACGTATCAACTTGATGCAAAAGCTGCAACATGATCGGAACATGTCGAGGCATGTGATCGTTGCAGGTCGCGCAGATGTTTTGCAGGGCTATAGCAGCAGCAGCGCCAATGCCCTGCTGCGGCAAACAGCAAACCAAAAAGTTCAGGATGGGGTCCAACGTGTTGGCGTGCTTTTCTATCCACTCGCACAGCTCGCCCAGCAGCAGAACCGAGGTGTATTTCACGGAAATGTGCGTTGTTTCCGGCAGAGAGAGGATAGCTTCGACCACTTTGGGAACCACCTCGTTCTCAGTACTAAAATTTATGTTGTTTTTTTTATAAAAATTATAAAGAATACAATTTTCATAGCTTCATATTTTTTTAGCATTTTTGTAAAATTAATATTTTTTTTAATCCTAAGCACCACCGCAATTCATCTAGGGAAATTTGGCAACATACTAACAATAAGTATTTAATTAATTAGGTTTTTATTCAATCAAACAAATCTTGCTACCTAATATGGATAGGCTTTTTAGAAATCACAATAGTAAATTATTATACAAGAGATATTAAATGCAGGATAATATGCGAGTGGCCAGACGAGAGACGCAAATCATTCGAGTGAATAATGCGCATAATCTCGAGTGTAATACTGAACTTTATCTACTCCAATTAGTAGTTAATTAATGATTATCAAAAATAAATAAATAAAATATGTCGGATAGTTAACCTCACTTCCTACCAATTATAATAGTATATTATTATACGAGAGATAATGCAGGCTATTATTCACAAGGATGAGGTTTGCATCTCGAGCCATCAGGCGAGAGACGTAAATGATCCGAGTAGGCAATATTTCCAGTGTAATACTATGCTTTCTCTACTCCAATTAAGTAACTTTCATTAGTAACAAAATTTATTATAACCTCACTTTTCCAGATTTTAAAGATCATTGTATTATTACTTTTTCCCAATTTAAAACCCGATTGGTTCAAATAAAAGTGAATATTGAAATCAGCCAATCACTGAAGCCTAACAACGTGAATAATGAGTTCAATATTCCCGTTGTTATGCCGGGCGGTTATATTGGTTACCATTATTTACGAAAAACGAATGTTTAACCTCGAAAACAATAAAAAACAACATTTAATTTTTTTTATTATTTTTAGTCATTAACTAATTTTTGTTTAAAAAAGAACCTAAAACATTTTTGTAACAAGAATTTTAGTTGATGTCCCTTAATTTAAAATGTCCAATCCGTGACGCCATTTTCACACAATATAATATTCACTCGGCAAAGCTTTCTCAACTAGGTAAAATCTATTGTAGTTTGTAGTACGTGACAAAGTTAAACAAGGTGAGTAAATTATTTTATGTTTATAGGTGTAAAATCTATTGTAGTTTGTAGTACGTGACAAAGTTAAACAAGGAGATTAAATTATTTTATGTTTATAGGTGTAAATAAGAAATAATTAATTAATATATAAACGTGTACACTTATAAGTAGTCTTTTCTGAGACACTTGCTAGAGTATCAGTTTTTTTCACCAATTTCTTTGGTTTTAAACCATTCTGAGAAGTTTATCCTAAAGCTAAAGATCGCGAAACATGTGCGTCAAACATGAAAATTTTGGTTTTATCACCCAAAAACTACACTCACAGGCAAAATAATCGATCCACACAAATTTTCGAAGAATTTCAATCGCAAATAACTTTTTTATTTGATTTCGGATTTAAACAAATATTAAAGAATATTGTAGATACATTAATGGAGAATCGCTCACATTTTAAAAATTACTAAAAAATACACGTATGTTTATAATATACAGGTTTAAACAAAAAGATGTTTTTTACCATGTTTAAGACACTCTGTAGAGTGGCAAAACCGTATATTGTTCTAAATTAAGTTTTAATTATCAAGTCAGATCTATTTTTAACAGTTTTGTTTTTGGTTAACCTTGATATATTTATTTTTGTGGAAAATATGGATTTTTAAAAAAAAACATTGCAATTTCCAAAATTTTTTCTGTATGAAGAACTAAGGTTGCTATGGTCCATCCATAGCCTATGGAGGATGACAGTGACAGTTTTGTTGAATCATCCCATACTTGGACATGTAAAATACAGCTTTCAAAAGCTATCAAATTGTTTTTTGTAAATTAATGTATTAATTTTGAGGTGTCTTCTCACATTTAAAAATGTCTCCGACTGATGTTGCTCTTTGTACTTTACTTCTTGTGACGTTTAAAACACTTGCCAAGTAATACTGTGACCGTCCATCCTGGATTAAATTAATGGCTCTGGCAACATCAGTCGGAGGCAAATCCAATGGTGAATGGGTATTTTGTTAAAGCCACTGGACGTCCGTTAATACTTGTAGTGGCTTAATAATAATTATAATGTATATATTGTCAAGGACTATTAATGATCACTAACTTGCAGATTGAAAGAAGAAAAAGTTTCGTGATTATTGCTTATCTTTCTCAAACCACATGCTATTTTCAAAGGCAGGAAAATTAACTACTAGATTTTTCACAAAAAAGTTGAACATAACAGAAAATAATTCTTATTTTTTGTTTTTTATTTCCCTTATTTTTTAAAATTTCAAAAATTTTTGATCTGCTTAGCTGAAAATAATGTGTGATTTAATATTTGTAAAACAAAAAACGTTTTTTACTCCAAAAAGGTCCATAAGGTGACTTTTTCTGCCATTGAGGCATTTGGCATAACTTCATTCAAAGTTCTTTTACTTTAGAATCTGATGTTATTTTTGGCATAGTTATCTTTTTATATCGATATTATATAGTAATTAACAAGTAAATTATCAATAATAAATATTACTGTCAATTTGAAAGTGTCAGAGTATTTAATTAAGGTCTTCAGCAGAAGTACCATTTTAATAAAAAAGTTACCAAGTTAATAAAAAAACACGAGTCCAAAAAAGAAAATGAAGGGGTAGATAATTTATTTAATCTCTTTTGACACGTTTATCTACTTAAAGGGCTTTTATAAAACTTGATACATAATATCTCTACATAATATTTCTACACAAAAATCTAAAAACCCATAATTAATTGTTCAATTATAAAAAATTACATCTTGCTTCCCAATTAGTTTGGCCCTTTTTTGGTTAATGTTACCTACTTAATTTTTTGAATATTTAGTATTTACTTCTCAAGACCTCTTTAAAAAACGTTGAAACCATATTTGAGGATGTAAAACTATATAAGAATGTCAAAATAAAACTTACGGTACTATATTTTTGGCGACGGCCTGCATAACAAATAGACTAGCTTCGCTGGACTCCCACGTGACTCCAGGCGTTTGCAGGTTGATAAACATTTGTCTGAAACAACTGCTTGACCCTACTATGAACACCACATCCTTGATTAGATCAGATACTTTCAGCCTGAAGTCTTTAAAATCGTCTCCGTCTTCCAGCAAACCTTCGTGATCCGGCTCCATTTGACAGTGTCTGCATAGAGCCGTTATTAATCGTTCGACGTAAGGTCGAAACATTTCGGTAATTTCCTTGTTGTTTTTCTGGTATAAATCCTCGCTCAAAACGTACCACAAGTTGAAAGTTATTTCTGCTACCTCGTAATCGTGGTGCCCCACGCAAATTAGCACTAAATCTAGAACTTTCATCGCGTAATGTTGCGATTTATTGTTGCTATTCATTATGATTTTTTCCAGAAACGACTCGGCCAACTCGGTGAAAACCCTACAGTAATTAATGGACTTATCCTGATCTTCGTTGGCTACAGACATGTGGTATGCCACCTCTAAATTAATAACGTTATTAAACAAGTACGTCTCCAGTATCTGCTGGTTATTATTATCCTCCAAACATTGCAATAGAGTGCAAATGCAATCAGTAGCGGCGCTGTGCAGCGCGCCCCCAACAGTCTGTTTCTCCCCCTCAGGTTTGTAGGTTAAAATACCGAACGCTCTGTTGATCACGATGTTGTTTCCCAACTCGGAGAGCTCGAAGGCGCCGACGGAAACCCACGAAGTGAAACACCGTAGGATTTTAATGTTCACCTGCACGTTTTCTTGCGAGTTATCCGTGTAGGTGTTAGCGCAATGCTTTAAAAACTCTAAAATTGTTGTCGAGCAACTTTTGAAGTCGTTCAGGACGTCTAGTCGCCTGTTCTCGCCTAGCCTGAAATTGTTTTACATATAGACAAGTTTTATTTAGGCTTGTTCCAACTGGCTAAAAACTCGTTTTGTATCCTAGGGCAGGTTTTTAGCTAGTTCAAATGTCAAAACACATTTGGAAATGTTAAAAAATTAATTTTGAATTTTAAAACCACAGTCTTATTTACATAAAGCTTAATTTTAATGTATTCGTTTGTCCGTTAGTCCGATCATTCGGGAGAGCTCCAACTATACGCTAAAGAAGTATCGGGTTTTCGCAACGCGCGCGCCGTCTACTGGACTTCGATAGCATTGTGTGAATTTAAGAATTGTCAACAATACATTTAAAGCATACGAACTGTACATTATTTTTAAATAAATAGGTAGGTAGTTTTATAACAAAAGAGAGGAAGGCAGAAGTCTTACTCGACAAATTTTGTTCAATTGCACAGCTAAACCGCGCACGTTATTTGTGTTTTACGTTGCAAGGAAAAAACTAAAAAATTGGTTTAGTACTCGATTTTGATTGATTATTTATCATTGGTAAAGAAACTCAACGCTTAAATGCTTATATAGTAACGTTAGTGTGTGTATTTTATCCAAGTGATCATGGTGAATTATTGTGTTTTTAATTGTAAATAAAATTCAAGTACTAAATCGTTGCATTTTCATGTTTTGCCAAAGGATCCAATTCGGTAAGTACATTTGAGAAGCGATCAGACAAAACGAGACAAATCCATTTTAGTGATTTTCAGAAATAATTCAAAAGCAAAAAATTCTTTTATTTTTAACTTGTTTCTGCAAATCACTAAAATGGATTTGTCTCGTTTTGTCTGATCGCTCCTCATTTGTTGGTGCAGAATTAACTAATGATAACTTTACCTAATATAATTTATATTAAAGTTTGGACATTTTTAAGAAATTAGTTAAAAATAATTGTTGCACAAACATAACCTTAAAATCAACCATTTTGATATTTGAGTTCTCTAAAAAACGCCGACAACTGCATTTTAAACAACAAAATATACCTACGAATTCTTGGTAACATAATATAATACATAATATAAAGGTATTTTACCGTTGAGTGGAGACTTTCTTAAACGCTTTTAATGCAAAATGCTGTTTAAATTTAGACGACTTATTTGTTTGACGATTTTTATTTACAGGGACTGTATGAAATCTATTTCTTCATTCGGATTAACACTGTTTATTGGAAAACCGGTAAAAACTCAACCGATATTTTTTTAACATTTTCCGGCTTTATTCTCAAAAACACTATTTTGTAACACACACGTTTGGCAGCTGATTATCAAAAAGTTGTAGTTTTGTTACGATGATAACAGCCGAGTGGTGGCGGTACTAGCGATGATTCTTTAGCATATAATTCGAAAATTATGACATTTCATCGGTCCGTCAAGTTTCAACATCCGTCACTACCCTAGACCAAACCAGTAGGGTCACTACACCTCCGTTTTTGACGCCTAACGTTATTTTAAGATCATTTATTTTCTAATCTTTTAATATTTTTTAATTATGGTTTTAAAACGGAGTAATTACGTTCGTTATGTGAATAATGTTCTACTATTATGTATTTATTTAATAAGAACGGAAAAAAAAGAAAAGACAAACAAAAAATATTAAAACCAGAACTAAAAGGGCATGCTTTTTAAAACTATACATTTTAATGTTTATTAGGGCTAGCACATTCTTTTTATATGGTACCTTTAAATTTATTAGACAGATAACACAATTGTTAACAATGGTTGACATAATTGTAACTATGACAATCAGCATTAGGTAAATTTAGTGAAGTGGATATACTGGCCCTTAATTTTAATTTATGGCCAAATCAATCCGTTATTCATCATTAAAAACGGATGTTTGAAAATTGCAACATTTCTTGTCGGACGATTTTATTGAACAATGTATAAAGGACAAACGGATGATACATGAAAATTTAGCTTAAGACCGTGGCCAAAACAAACTGAAGAACGCCAAAAACATAATAAAATAAAAGTTCCATTCAGGTTTGTTCCAACTAGACAAAAACATGTTTTTGTATTCTTGGACAGGTTTTTAGCTAGTTGGAACAAATCTTTTAAATTGAAAAACGGCTATTTTGTTGGAACAAATCTTTTAAATTGAAAAACGGCTATTTTCCCTATCACTTTTTCTGAAAAATTTGACTCACCTCACAGATCTATTTTCTAATTCTTCAGGTAACACAGTCAAAATTTCTAAAAGCGGCCACATGTTGGTGGAAGAGAACTTGGTGATCAAGTCCAGCGAAGCCCGCGGCCAGGTGGGCATCTGCAGCGCCAGATCGGCCAAAGCGACGCACAACTGCGTAACGATGATCGTGTTGGTTTGTTCGTTGATTTGGGCAATGTGCTCCAAAAGGGAGTCTCGCAGAGAGGAGTGCGCTTCCGGGGGTAGCTCGTGAAAGGATTGCTGTATTTTCGAGCGCATCGTTTGGGCAGCGAAGTAACACGACTCCAAGTCTCTTTTGTGATGCAGCAATTCGTCCGCCACCGTCCACGCGTGGACCTGTGTAACGAAAATTAAAACATTCTTAGATCCAGTGTTGCCAGAAATTTGAAACTTAAGGCGATAACTTGAGAATGAAATATCGCAAAACCCAAAATGCATTAAAAAACGTACCTAAATGCATAATATCATTTTAATATTTTTACACAGTTAACAATTTTATTAAATTAATAAATAAGAAGAATAAATTTAAAAAGCTATTTATTTTTTTAGAAATTGTCCAATTGAGATTGTTGTAATGCTACGAACGAGTGTCAAATAGCATTGATGAAGAATGCAAGTGTCAAATTGGTAGTTAAATAGTGATTTGACTTGCAACTATCTATTTACCCAACTACAATTGTCTATTGTTTAAAAGCATCAGGTAGGTACTTTTATTAAAGAAAGAAGCTAATTGAGGAGCATCCATGCAAAACCGGCTATATCCACTTTAGTAAAATGTTGGGAATATGGCAAAAACTCTCGGTTTCCTGGCCTTTACAGATAAAAAAAGCAAACTTGAGTTTTGTGGGCTTTGTGGTACTTGATTTATAAGACATACTTTTGTTTTCAAAAACTTTATATTAAGGCCAAAATTTCAAAAAATGTTTTGTATATAGCCGGTTAAGCACAAAAACCTACGAATAAAATGTGAAAAAAACCTTTATCATTCAAAAATATTAACAAAATAAATTTAGTGAAAACATGAAAAAACAGAACAAATTTTAGTAGTAGTATTGACATATCCAAGCCACATGCTCATCATCATTATTATTTATTGGATATACCTAGCCAGGTTTGCTATAAAAACGTGGTGTGATTTTAACATGGATATAGTCGGATTTAAAAAGAATTATCTTGGTTGTCGATAAAAATGAACCCAAAGATGCGAAATCAATAAAAAAAAACAAAAACTGAATAAAATGGATTTAGCCGGTTTTGCACGGATGCTCATGAATTTATGGAAAATTATAATTAAAATGTAAAAGTAAATTTAATATTCCTGTCAGTGGCGGACTAAACCCGTCGGAGGCCCGGGGCGGTAAAATAAAATGGGGCCCCTAGTCTGCTTATGAAATGTGATTGTTTTGTAAATATTAATGTTTTATTATTTTAAATTTGTTAGCAAGTCCTTTGCAACACTTTTAATGTAATCAGGGATATGAAAATTGATTACAAGCTTTTTCCAGGGAACTTATAAGTATACTTATATTTGAACTTGTTAAATTTTAAAAATCAAGGGGCCCACTCATGGCAGTCTGAGATTAACCATTATTTAATGTAATTGTAGCCTTTTTTCTTATTCCAGATGGATTGCAACTAGGGGCTCCCGAGACCAAAATATTAAAAATCTTTTTTAATTTTTACTTTATATTTTGTTTTTTTAGAGCATGTTCTTTAGAAACTTTGAATCTCCGGGTTATTTTTTTTTAATCAAGTTTATATTTTATGGTAAAGCTGGGTCCTGAAATATTTATACCTATACTAGGGTTTTAAAGTGTCGAAAACAAAACCAAAAAAATTGGGGAAAAAACCAGGCCTTAAAAAAATGTCTTTTTTGGGAAAAATTGAATTTTTTTTTCAAATACCTATATAGCAATCAACAACTTAACATTAATTTAATTAAAAAAAAAACAAAACTAAACATTGAATTAAATTAAATTGATTTAAGAAAATGATATTATAATTATATTCAGCGTCGGAAATTTACTTTTTTCTCGATATCAGTGTATGGATGGTACCTACAAATTTGTAAAAATTTGTATATTTTCGATAAATTGACTTTTGCTTTTATTCGTATTACTCTTTGAATAAAATGAGAAAAATGAAAGTCAATTTTTCTGAAAATTTCCCATTTTTTTTTCGGAAAAAACCGTTTTTTTCCGCCGGCTCTATTTTTCCGGAAATTTTAAAACCCTATATTTTAGATAGTTTTTTGTTGGACTGAGAAAGACTACTTAAGATTTGGGGGCCAAAAGTTTTGTAGTTTTTAAATAGTAAATTTATACAGTCTAAGAAAGGTTTTTAATATCTCAGTAAAAAAATAAAATATGTTATAAAAATTTATTAGTTCTAATTTGTTTTGACAAAAGTAAGAAGGCACAAATTTATTTTTATTATTTTGCCATGTTAAGCCAATATAAAACACATACCTAACAAATCAATTTTAAATCTAGTTTTCTAAAAATATAATGTTCAAAATATTTTTCAAGAGGTTTTGCAAGCTGCTGAGCCAACAAAAAAATTCTGCCCAAGAATGCTATCTTATGGCTTAAGTTGACATTCTTAAGACAGTTTTCATATAAGAATTCTAGCCTAGAATTTCTAGGATTAGGATGTCAAAAATGTTGAAAAAACTGTCACATTATTGGAAAAAGAATTAAATTTATATGGTACTTACACTATTTTAAGGCCTAATCGTAGATGACTTCGCTTACTAGATTACATATTGCTACACTAAAGGAGGTAGTGCAAAGCCAACAAACAAACTATTACACACTTATATGCGCTTTTTATTTAAGAACATCTAAAAATATGGACGATTTTGTCAACATCTGAGAAAAATTTTTAATTTAATTCCGGCGATAGCGAAGGTAAGTTTAAGAAACTGTAGAGATATGTTAGTAGATATTATAGATGTATTATTAACTGTACTTACGGATTTTTGTAGATCTCCTAGCCATTGCGAGGCCCTTTCTTTTTCAGTTGTATTTGGATTGTTGTATAGTGAAGATACGGCCAATAAAACCAAATCAATGGCTGGTTTTTGTTCCATTTCGGTTAATCGATTAATTATCACTTGCACTTTTATATTCGAAACTTGTATTTATTATAAAAAATCATATTATTTATAAAATTTTAGATTGTCCAACCTCAAACTGAAAGCTTATTTTTTATTTTGTTGACTAAACTGATCCAGTATGGCCACACTAAATATCTGTCAAATTTTTATTCCAATTTTCATTTAAGTCTATTTAAAACAATTAAACACATGTTTTTTATTATACAAATGTAATTTATTTTTATTTTATATAAAATTATTTTACAAATAAAAACGCAAAAAAGCTATCAAGTTTGACTGCTAATTTTTGACATTTCCCCGCAAGGTGGCGCCATGATGCAATCTTTGTGTTTTTTACTCCCTAATTTTTTAATTTATTGAAATAGTAAACATTCCCTTAATTAAGTTCTACAGGATGCAAGTGGACGATTTGTTGGTCTCGATAGATCCCAATGTGGACTACAGCCAGGTATGTTTTTAACGCCAAAAATAATCAGACAAAAAAAATAAAGACAAATAAAATTTATAGTTTTGTAATTCTTGATTATCAGATTGCACCCGTACACCAAAAACATACAATAGCGTTTATTAATCAGTTTACAATGCAAACGGTTGCGTTTTTAAACAAATTTGCTCAATCTTGTGAATCGAGGTTGATGGATTTTGAATACAAGTTGCAGAAAGTTGAGGCCTCACTTTTGATATTAGAGTCGCAAGTAAGTATTTTTAGTCTATTAAAAGCTCTAATTATCCTGCAAAATATAGCTAGTCAAATCAAATCAATCTACCTTTAAGCTTTTTTACTTTACTATATTTTTTGGAGTGTATTTCTATTGTTATACACTTTGTATAGTAAGGATAATGTATAGTGTTAAAATCCACCAAAAAGAAAAAAAGTGTGCTTAAAATTTCATATTTAAACGAAAAAATATTTACAAATTCTTAGTTAAACTTATAGTTGTCTTCGATATCTGGACTAGATAATGATGAAAATTCCAATAAAGTTGAAATAAAGACTGAAGAGTCAGTGTTAGTCGAATTACCTGAAATAGTTTTTGCAACCGTGAAAACCAACAATGAACCAAATATTCTTGTAAATAAAAACGAAAATAATGGAATTAAGGCTAGTGAAGACCCCAGGTACAAAAAGTTTTTTAAAATGGTACATTTTGGTGTTCCTGGACCAGCTGTTAAAATAAAAATGCAGAATGAGGGAATAGATCCAAACATACTTGAGTAAGTACAACCTAACTTGTTTGCTGATAATTTTACTAATAAAATTGTTTAAAAAAAATTATTTAGCACTCCAAATGAAGTAATACCAGGACTTGAAAACTACAAAGCTCCAGAATCAGATTCTGACAGCTCAAGCATTTAAAATTACTTATGTTGTAAATAATTGAAGAATAAAACTTTTAAGTTATATAAACTGTTTTATTTGTATATTAACTTATTACAACGTCAAATAACCTAGAACTGGATCATTTGACCCTTGCGTTTCTTGTCACCTCCAAGTTCAAAATGCTTGCAACGTTTAAGTGGGATCTGCTTTCTGTATTTGCAGTCTGAACATTCCATTCTTAACACGATTTTCTTGGTGGTTTTTGCCTAGAATAAAATTAAAATAAGCATGTGTAGTTTAACGGTAAGTATTAAACTTATTACCTTTTTACGCAAGATGGGTTTGGATTGACCACCAAAACCCTGTTGTTTCCTGTCATAACGCCTTCTGCCTTGGGAAGCTTGCCTTTCCTTGGATTTCTTGTACTGGGTTACTTTATGGGGTTTGTGTACTTTGCATTTTTTGCAAAAAGTACGACGAACTTTTGGTACGTTCACCTAAAACAAATTTCTACACGTTAAACAACGTTCATTTTAACTAAACGTAAGGTTTATATCGATGACAAAATCCAAAAGCATTCAAAGGCCTTTATTTTTTTAATATTATTGACAGTGACATAACCTCGAAATTTTCACATTTGACTATTTTCGCAAAAATATCCAAATCACTGATTTATAGATACTGTGAGGCACTCATAGATCACTTAAAATCATCAAAAACGTTCACTATAAAGGCCGATGATTAAAGATTTTAGCAGAAAATTAAAAATACACACCATTTTCGTTGCTGACTGTCACAAAAGAACTGTTAAAAAGAGACAGAAAACGGAACTGACAGACTGTAGCGCCATTTTCAAATATTTCACACGCATGGCAAATCCGATTGTGAAGTGCCAAAACGTTTTATTCCGCTATTTTTGATTTTCCTGTTTTTAGTTTTAGACGCATTTCGATTTATTTTTATTACAAATAGGTATATGCAAAATCATAGTTTGTTTGAATAGGCTTTAATATTTTTATACCCACTGATATTTACCATGTTTTTTAACTATTGATTTATTGAATAAAAATAATAATAAGTCATTCCTAATTTATACCCACAGAAACCTATTTATGATGCAAAAACAATTAAAATAAATATTATAATGGAAAAGCATTTCACAAAATGGCGGCTAAATGCATGTTGATATTTTATGGCTCCCTATTACTTATTTAAACTATTTCGCTTTGCTAGGTATTATTTAAAATAGTCTTATTTGATTTTATTTTAGATTAATAAACTCAAAAAGTATTTAGGCCTAATACTTTGGTAATCTAAAAAAGTAAACAAAAAAATAACGAATTTTCTTATCCTAAATAGAAAAAAAATAGTTTGGCGTCACTGTTAAAAGGGATCGTAGGTAGGTTTTTTAATAATTTTTATTCAATTAGGGGTTTTTGTCGGGATGCCGTTTTGTGTACAAAATACATGTAGGTATTCACCACAATGTGGAATGTGGTATTCAAACCAACAAATAACTAGGTATCTACTACCTAAGTAGATTCTACTTAGGTATTTTATTTTATTACAATCAGATCACGATATCGTGTATGTATATACACATACTGCCCTACTATGGAGAAAGGCAGTAGTAACTGCTAAACAAGAAATTTGTGGAAAATTAGCATACCTAAACTACATTTTTATAAAAAGCAGTAGGTATTTAATTGATTTTTTTAATTTATGAGATATTTGACTGCATTTCTGTGTTGAATTCGGTTACAAAAAGTCCATAGCTTTACCATAATATGCTATATAGCACAAGAAAACGCATTTTGCATTTTTTGCAGTTACTGCCTTTCTCCATAGTAGGGCAGTATAGCTACCTAAAGGTATCAGATTTATTTATATATGTCCTATTTATCGATTTATTTTTTGATTCGTGCATTTTTATTGCAAACTGTTTATTTAGTACTCTTATTAATTAAAGAACAAATTGTAAACAAACATATGTATATTTAATTTGTACCTCAAACAAACAAAACATTAATTCTAACAGTAGTTCTAGAAAATAAATAAAATCGATTAAAAAAGGGATTTTAAACGGAAACGGAGGGAATATTTTTGAATAGCGCTCCTGGCGGTGGCATACCGACACTAAAATTTTAATCTCATACCAAAATCAAAAATCGTAAACTGACTCTCAGAACCCTCGTATGGGGGCAGAAAAAAATTAATTTAAGAAAATGCAAAATGGGTTTGGAAATTCAATTTCATTTAAAATTAAGGAAATTAAGTGTCGAATAAATCGGTAATAAAAAGGAATATAAAGTCGTTTGGTTAAGAAAAGCCGGTAGTTCGGCAAAAGTCGGGCTCGGTCGGTTTACGCGCGGCCATCTTAGATTTTGAACAAAGCTAACGAAGAGCCGGTCAGTAGTGTGTCGAACTTCCATACGATCAACTTCTGAAGTTACAGTGAAACCTTTAGAAAATATAAACAAAATGAGTACAAAAGAAAATAATGAAGTTGCAGTTGAAAAACTAGACAACGACAAAAGTGAAAAGTGTGAATTAAAGGGCACGAAGCGAGCGGCAGAGGTAAGACGGTCTTACTAAGACTTAGTGCACGAGACTATTACAAACAAGTCTATACACTATTGCTTTCATTTTTAATCTATTTTTAAAGTCTAGGTACCATTTTCTTTGATTAATCTCTTTGTTTAATCCCATGCAACGTTCTAACGCTAAATTTAGATTGTTTTTCGCAATATTTTCATTAGTAAATGTTCCTACGCTTCAGCTTGTTGCCATGTTGCCATCTTTTTCTTAGTATCAATTACCGCGTCGGCATTCGCAAGCATTAATGTTGAAACCCCGTAAATCGACATAAATCGACACAAATCGCGTTTTTGACGTGCAAACGGCACAAAAGACATGTGTCACGCTTTTCTCCACAGTGTAAACATCGTAGCAAGCGTCCCGCCATATTTCCGACGCACCCCGGACAAGGCTAGCATAGCCCGCTCGAATTCAACATGGCGAAATCAATAGCAATAGCTTGGTGTGCCCTGCGGAGAGGCTAGCCCATCTTGAAAAATGAAATACGATGCTTTTCAATTATTTTTAAAGTCTGCTTTTATAACTTTAATTATTTTTTAATTTTATATGTGATTTAGATCGGTTTTGGCGCGTAAAATGGAGATTAAACATGTTTATTTTTCATGATTTAAGCTTATTATTTTGTGGTAGCTATCGAACCGTTCGTCTAATCGTCAGTTGTTGCGTTGACCTCATTCGTGCCTTATTGTTTATCTTGTTGATTATGTATTATTTGAAAATATTAAAAAGCGCCTTCGGTTAACGAACGAACGACTTTCTTCAACGATCCAAGCATGACGGAGGAGCCATCGTGATCCAACTTGAATCATCCAAGTAGGTATTCGGCGTTGGGAGTTGTGTGCGTTGTTTTTGAGCGTTGCTAACTTCCGGTCTAAATTAAATAACGGCGCGTACAGGTGCATAGCCGGCAAGCGGCAGATGCCAAGCTCGCTTGATGCGATGACGCTTCCAATATGCACGCACGCTTGATTTCTTCATTGTGACATACCAACGCTCTTTTCCAAGGGTTATGGTACCTAGATTATGAGAGCGTCAGTAATAATATTTTAGCGTTTTTTTTTAAGGATAACGTTTTAATTAGAGGATTTGACTTAAAATATGTTTTTAACGTTAATTTGTGTACATCTTTAGCTTTGGGTTTTATTTTAGCATTTTTTCTCTAAAAAAATGTGGGTTATATCGCCGTTATCTAGTTTTCAACAACTTGTTAGGAAACATATTAATTGTATAATAATATTATAATAAATATTTATAAGCGAGAGGCGTTTTTCAAATGTTTAATTAAAATATTATAGGAACTTTTCTTCAAATCGTTCAGTTGTCAAAAACTTAATACGCCTTTACGTATTTGTAACGGATTTATCTGAGTTTTATTTTTAAAAATGTATTTATTATATTCTGGAATTTTTTCTCAATAAAATTTCGGTTATATGTATTTGATTTGTAAAAAAAAATAATTGGTTTGAAAAAAATCACAATAACTTTGAAACTTAAAAAAATGTCGGATATTTAATTTTATAATATAAATAATATTAAAAATATTTTTAAATAAAACCTAAATAAATGCAAAATTGTTGTTTAAAACTTTTAAATTAAAAGTTGATATTATCACTGATACAATATTTATTAAACTTTTTTAAGTACATACATATATTTCAAATCTCAAATTAAAAAGTTATTCCTGTAAAAATGTACCTTCATGTACTTAAATAATTAATCGATTATTGAATACAGATTAATTAATAATTCATGGTGGAAAAACTGAAACGTGTGTTATTTATTTAGGACAAAACGGACGAGCCTAAAAAAGCGAAGAAGGAAGAAAATGGCGCTAACTCGGAGGGTGAAGACCTCGACGAGGAAGAAGAAGAGGGTGTAGAAGAAGAAGACACCGGCGAAGACGAAATCTGCGAAGGGGAGGATATCGAAGGAGACGGTAATTTAATGAAATAATTTTTTTAAATGCGGTTTTAATGTTGTTTATTTGTAGAAGATGATGAAGATGAGGTGGAGGGTGAAGATTGTGTGGAGGAAGAAGAAGAAGAAGAAGATGCATAATAGTGTAGTATGTGACGGACTCTTTTATAACGCAGTGCAAAATCGCAAGCTACTCGGTGGCCGAACAAAAGTTAAATCGTATAAAGCGCAATTTTTTAGTTCCTCATATGACGTCATATTATAGTGTATACATCGTTTTTATATAGTCATAGTCATCATATATATATTTCTTCTCCTACAGCAGCAGCAAAAGCCACGTTGACTATCTTGTGATTTGCATTGGAAAGTGTTCAGTGCCGTTATTTAACTAATTGTTATGCCGCGGTACCTGAATAACCTTTAACTTATTCTACGTATCCCCCTTCAATGATGATTTGTATAAAAATGTCCATTTTTTGTGTAAAGATAGGTATAAATTTCATTTTTCTTAGTTTAAAAAGTTGTGGTCAATCAGCAGCATCAGCATTATCATTTTTCTGACTATTATTGCAATTGTAAAAAGAGTTTTCGAAAAAAATCACATTAAAACCACCACCACCAAACATAATATATAAATAAATTAAAAGGTTGCTATCGTTTCTGTCTAACGATTTATGCCAAAGGTAAAAACAAACAAAAGCAGAAGGGCAATAAAAATGTTAAGTAGGCTAAAGTAGATCTTAGTCTCAACTGTTTTTTTAGAACCGTGTGTTGTATGTATGTATGATATCTATTTTTTATTTTATTATTTTTTAATTGAATTTAACTGTTGAAGAGCTCAGCGCTACCAAGTCGCTTGGCTCTTTAAACAAACTATTAGTTTCCTTGCGAGTTGTTTTGAAATCAATCGTCGGCACATCTTTCCCAAAACTTACCTATAGTACAATCCGTTGCTTTGTTTTTCTTAAGTAAAACAAACGAACGTGGCGTTTGTGCAACAGACTTTGTAGCTGGATCTGCATTTTGCTACTTGCTTTGTTTTACGAACGCCTTGCCGCTTTCCAAAGGCGTGCCGACGATTTTTGCGACGAATTAATTAATTATTTCATTCCAACAATGTTTTCTTCTTTTACTATGACAATTGAGTAAAAATCTGCGCGTTTTTACTTGTATATTTTTACAGAGAACGATATGAAATTTTATCATTGTCTACTTAATTTAAATACTATTATTAATCTTGTAGAAATTGAATTGTAATTTAATTAAACAAAACAGTGCTGTATGAAATTTTTTTGAGTGAAAAACAATGGATACAATTGTTTCTTAATTTTATTTCGTTTTATTTTTTAGCCCATTGGTTTTTGTAAATAACTTTTCAATTAAAATTTGAAATTTTCAGACTTATATTTCTTTACAAACATCAGTAAATTTTGTCGCCAGCTTTCAAAATAGACGTATGCGCCGGTCCAATTTTTTTGGCGGCGGCGTACTTATGTTGATAGAACGGCGGCGGCGGCGTCAACCGGCTTGCGTAGAAAGGCAAAGTGCCTTATTTCCTAATTTGGTCAGCGCACGGGATTTTAAAATAAATGCACTGGGTCTTGGAAGTTTGTATTGTAGTAAATCATGTACAATATACAGAACCGGCGTGCGTCGCCAAAATTTAAATGGCGTGTATATGGAAAAAGCGGCGGTGGCGTGAGTAATACATTTTATTCGCGGCGGCGCATCGGCACTGCAGCGCAGACGTCTATTTCAAAACAAGAAAAATCCACTAAGAAAACACAAAACTAAAAAAAGTGGTTTAATACAGGTAGTTTTATAAGATCCTTCCATTGGAATTAAGAAATCCCCACAGGTAAGAAACGTTAAAATTAAAACAAATTAAAAAGTAATACTCTTTTTCTCTATAAGGTTGTTACAAAAAAATTCAAGATTGATTCCTTGCATAAAAAACAGCACAGCAACTAGTTAACGGGATACAGAATTGCAATTTTTTTTAAATAGAAAACATCGGATTTTTTCTTATCTGAAAAACCCCAACAAAAACAAGAATATATGGTAATAAAAATTCAACACCTATTTCATTTCTTATCTTTGACCTGAGGGCGAAATTTTACTTCCTCCACTATAGTTTATGTAAACATAGAGAAACAAACAAGAGTTCCCGATTGCCTGTTGAAAGTGGGGAACATAGTTATGGTGGCGACTCTAGTGGCTACCAGAAAAACAAGCTTAAAGCAAGGTACCCGTTCTGTGGCGGTACCATTCAAATTTAAATATCTTAAACGATTGTTTTGTTTCCTCAGGTAACAATGTGACATAACATTACTTTTAACTTGTCTGTTGTGTGCAGACTTTGCACTGCAGAGTCCCTGGTTGTGTTTATGGGCTGTTATCAATAAACAAGCTTGTTTATTGTGTGTTGTCTGCCATGCTTAATATTTCTTGGATTTAATGCTGCTAATTGAAATACATTTACAGGTTCAGATAAATTAGTTTACATGGGGTCTTTAATCGTATGACACTTGGCAATTGAAAACTGCATAGGACACTTAGGAATAAATTTGTTTTAGAAACAATATTGGTTGTGAATGAAATGTCAAAGCAAATTTGTTTTAGAATCAAACCAGCTAGTGCTGTTCCTAAAACAATTTTATTCGTAAAATAATTATTTTGTAAGGAATTTAACATATATTTTTCTAAAGTGTCCTATGCAGTTTAAACATCACAAGTAAACTAATTAATCTGCTCGTAGAGATGTATTTCAATTAACACCATTAAATCCAAGAAATACCAAGCACTGCAGCCAAACACAATTATATAAAAAAAACACAATAGAGCAGTTTGTTTTTCGATAACGGTAGCATAAACACAGATACAACAAAGCAATAATTTAAGATACCTATTTAAATTTGAATTAACCGCGCATGGAGCATACACACATAAAGTGACTATAAAGGTAAAATAAGAAACATTTATGTACCTCAAAAAACTGCCCATTATAAAAAAACAAAAAAAATCAAACACTTATTTAAACAGTTAAAACTCAACAAAACACCACGATACAAACGAAATAAACTTAAATGGCGTAGGTATGATAAGTAATTGCATTAATGTACATGCGAAACTCATGCGCATCACGCCAAATTATTGCGATTTTCGCAAAATATTGGATCAATCTCAAGATTTCCACCCCCTAGATTCAAATTTTGCGAATTCGCAGGATCTGTCGAAACGCTTTTCCCGCCAAATCAAATGGACCAATGGGAGCACGAATATTCGGATTAACAAAAAGTAATGTTTAATTTAGTGTGTTTGAAATTAAAAACAATATTTAAAAGAGAGTTCTTACTTCAAGTATCTAAAACTTAAAGTATTAGATCTGTGGCTTACCTACTTTGGTAATTACAATCGAAATAGGCTAGATTCTCCCAAAATAGGTTAGATTAGTACGAAATAACCTTGAAATAACGTAATTTAATTTAAAAGATAAAAGTTGGCCAACTATTAAATTAAGTCTTAAATTACATCACTGTAAGAACGTTACAAAGGACTCTTGGGTTTTTAACTTTTAAGTTAAATTAAATTACATCTTAAATTAAATTACTTTTCTGTTAGAAGGGTAGTGAAGCTGGCTGTCGCGGCACGAGAGATCCTGAGGGTATCTTTAGACAGCCCTATAGGCATAGAAAAAGGATATAGGGTTACGGTCATGGGTAGGCTCCTTGTATCATGGTAGGCTCCATGGTTACGGTTTTCGTATTGTTGATCTTTTACGGGAGGAAGGAAGGAAGGCAATCTATACATCAGGCTTTATAACCAAAAAGCATTGAGTAAAGAAGTGCAATGCAAAAAGGTTTAGGAAAAAATACTATAGTAGACCAGAAAAAGAAGAAGGGTTACAAATACTATAGTAGACCAGAAGAAGAAGAAGAGGTTACAAATACATAACCTAAATAAATACAAACAAATTCCGACAATGTCAGTGACTTTGCACACAGATTTAGGCAACTTAAAGCTGGAATTATACTGCGAATATTGTCCGAAAGCGTGCGAAAATTTTCTAGCTCTATGCGCAAGTGATTACTATAAGGGGAGTTTGTTTCACAGGAATATAAAGGGGTTTATTGTGCAAACAGGTGACCCCACTGGCAGTGGTAAAGGAGGTCAATCGATTTGGGGTAAAAAGTTTGACGACGAGTTTAAGGAGCAGTTGAAACATACTGAGCGAGGGGTTGTTTCTATGGCTAATAATGGGCCCAATACCAATGGTATGTTTATGAGATTTATTTAAAAAAATTTGATTCAGCCCTGCAGCTAAGCAGTATTTTTTATTTTAGGAAGTCAATTTTTTATTTCGTATGCTGCTCAGCCACAATTGGACTTGAAATACACTATTTTTGGTAGAGTTATTGATGGTATGGATACTTTAGACGAATTAGAAAAATTACCTGTAAATCCCAAAAATTTTAAACCCACCAATGATATAAGGATTAATAGTATAACAATTCATGTCAACCCTTTGGCTGGTTAATTCATTAAATAATTAAATAAAAGACTATTTAAGTTGTATTTTTATATTTTAACAAAATTTAACATTAAAATAATTTAAATAATAAATTGGAATATGTACTTAAAAAGATAAGTATTTTACATACATATTTAGTGGCTAAATAATGATTATAATAATACAAGGTACACAAAATAAAAAAACAAACAATTTATTTAGCATATTAACTCCATTTAAATACAAAGTAATGTACACAAAACGATTTGTTCCTGAAAAATTGTCTATTACGTAAATACATATACTAAACCAACAATATCACAACTTATTTATTGGATGCAACATTAACATTTATAACGGGACATTTATACATTATAGGTTTAAACTGATATTATTTATTATAAATAGGACATCGAAATTTATAATTTATTTAGTTTTTTTATCGTCGGTATCTTGGATAGCGACCTGATCCTTTTTCGAGACATCATCCGCAGAAAAACCGAACTCGTTTCTACGCGACAAATCCACCGGATATATCCATTTTTGGTACAAGAACACGAAGAAAATAATATCATCCCTAAAGCAACCCAACCTATACATCGTAGGCATTTTGATGACGAAAGCAAACATATCGTCGATAAAGGTGTTTAAAAATTTGTACGTCATCATTCTCCACGGCAAATGCGCAACAGATTTCAGTTTGTAGTTGATAAAGAGTTGAGGTGTCATCATTATGAACCCAAAGGTGAGGAGGTAGCCATAAAGTAAGTCTAGGACAAAGGAATACCAGCCTTTGTGTTCTAAATAAATTAGGGCGTACACGCTGTAGCCGGCGAGGAGGGGGAAACATAACCAAGATAGATATTTGAAGGCCAATTCGTCATAAACTCTAGTGCTAGATTCGACGTATGAACCTTTATCTTCAAAGGTGATTTTCCAACCTACTAGCTTAAAATCTACGACTTTGTTTATTTTCCACATTTCTATACCTAGACCAACAAAACAACTAATCCTAACAAGAGTGTTGGTTTCATTGTCCAAAACATATAACAAGACGACCAGAGATTGAAAAACTCCGAAGAAAACTGATCTAACAGACAAACCCTCCAAAGAATTCCTATTATTCCAAAACTGTATGTCGTTTTTGAACGCCAGCAGCTCAAAAATCGAGTGCAGAATTGAAACAAAAATTGTAATACCCAACAAGTAAGGATTGGTATCCAACAAAGTTTCCTTTAGTGTATCCTGATCCTCATCGCTATGATTTGGTTCCGCATCACCGAAAATATTCCACATCTGCCTTGTATTTTGTGCAATATAAATCTGCAACTTCATCAAACTCATTGGCTGAAACGTAATTCTTAACGTAAAAGTCTCGTTCAACGGCTTATAATCCCTCGCCATGTTCCAGAAGTCATTGGCAAACAACACGGGTTTATAATGATTACCGTCATCAGTAAATTTAATGTACTGATCCAAAGGCATGGGCATGCTATTTGGCGTCCATGCCGTTTGATCTGTAATTAAGTTTAAAGTGATGTTTGGGTGCCAATGCGCCACAATTTTGCCATCTTCCACGTCCGGTTTTTCCGTCTCCCCGCTGATAAGGTTTTTCGTCACGCTGGCTTTTAATTTTTTATACCTGCAAGAAAATTACTCTGAATTTTGTGTATTTTGCGATTATAAACGCTTAAGTTAAAACAGAATTTCAATCGCTTTATCTGGTCGCGAGATATTTACATTTTCCCAATTATCACACAAGGGCGTATCTATATTTAAAAATTTTAGCTAATTTAAAGTATATTTAAAACAAATGTGCTACTATAGTACCTATAGGTTGTATCTATATTTATTGTAATGCCAAGTAGCGAATTTTTTTACAAAAAATAATTTAAATTAGCTAAAAACTTTAATTCTTATAATTCTCAATTTAATGTTTACATAACAAAATATACTTACTGTGGGGAAGTATTTAAATGTGTATTAAAAAATAATAACAGATATTTATTAAAATGAACATTTAGTCAAAAAATTAGTAAATTTGTAAATTTATTAGTGTTATATTAGTTATTTTAATTTGAAATTGTTAATGATTAAAAATTAATATAAAATTACTTTAGTTTTAAACATCTTATGAAGAGCAAATGCAATTTTGATTGAATTATTCTGTTTGGACAGAAAAGTTTCAAATATCAACACATAAAAAATAACAACAATAATTCTGATTCTGCAAAAAACGACCAGACCGCAAATTAATAAAAATTGGTAAAATAATTATTGTTTGGTGGATTGGTTGCTTCCTACATAACTGGGTTCAATTTTATAAACACTGTAATTTATATTATTGTAAGCAAAACATAAGTAAAACAGTAGGTACCTAATGTATGTAAAATATACTCATTACCCAACAACTCCAACAAGTTAACACCTAATACATATTAATAGAAAACTTCTCACCTGTTTATTTGCTTAAAAACTGAGCTGACTTTATCCTTGGCAAAACTGAAGGCACTGGGTTGGGGAGTTTCCCCAGATTTGGTTACAAAGGCATGCAAATACAATGACCCATTATTTCTCATCGTTTCCGTGATTGGTACTTGTTTCTCTATCACGTAACTCCCGTCTTTAAAGGGCCCAGAAGTCCAATCGCCATACACCAAACCACTTTTGTACCAGAACACATTTGTTTGATTGTAATTGTCCAGTTCTTCAGTCTCTGATAGATACACCCATAAGTTTAGGTTCGTCCCGTCGGGAAATATATTTCGAGCTTGTTTTGACGGTACCGCAACTCCATTTTCGTTTGTTACAGGGGCCTGCGGCCTTCGGAAGAAGGAGGTTATGAAGTAGATTATCAATGCTCTAATAATCAGGCTTTTTGTGACTGCAAAAAAGGATTCCATGCCCGTGGGCTGCCTGTTGAGCGCCGGGTTTTGCTAAAAATAATTATTCCTTAATTAAAGATTTTTTCCTTAATTTGTTTAATTTCGACTTACCGCTGCGGCGGCATTTTCTGCGGGTTGCGCATTTGTCTCTGCCACTGCGTTTTCTATATTCAAGCCATTTGTGGCCGCACCTTCACTCATTTTAAATTTTATTTTAAATAAAATTACTTCTAATAAAATGACATGTCACTCATGTGATATAATTTTTCTTAAGTTGTCGCAACTGTCATTGTTAAGGGATTTTCTTGTTTCCAAGAGTTCCAAATGTATTTTAACAGACCATTACGAATTCTTTTTTAAAATATGATGTAATAATTAATCAATAAAATTTAATTCATATAAGTGCACAAAAGCGTGTAAATATTAGTAGAAGCCGTGTAAAGTTTGAAATTTTACATCACTGCTGCCAACATAAAAATCAATATACCCCTGTCAGGTGACGGGTCTATTTCTTTTCCAATTGTGCAGTGTAGAAATAATGGCTGCTGGTGTAAGTATTTTGTTAAACTTGCAATTATCTCGCTAATAAAAGACCATCAGCTCGTTTTAAGTGCTTTTAAAGGATGTTTGAATGTTGATTAACTAATTTCCCATCTTATTTCTTTCAGACTTTATACACTTATCCGGATAATTTCCGTGCCGCCAAGGCACTGATTGCGGCTCAATATGCCAAGGGAAACGTCAAATTGGCACCTAACTTTGTTTTTGGCGAAACCAACAAGACCAAGGACTTCCTAAAAAAATTCCCTACCGGAAAAGTGAGTACAATTTTCACTGAGGAGCTCCATTTGTTTTTGTGCCGAAACGTCAAAATGCCAACTTTGAGGTTAGAACAGCTGTTATGTGGCACAGAATTCTTTGGATTTTAGCTAAATTGAGCTGTGTTCGTGTATTTTTAAACGAGATTCTCGTGTTATATAAAGTTTTGAGGCGTTCGATATAAATTTACCGACTAAATAGCGAATTATTTAAGTTTTTTCAAATTGTCGCGTTTGAGGTTAGAAATGCTTTCGAATGGGGCAGATTTATGTAGATTGCTACTATATACTTTTTCTTTAAACAAGATTCCCGGGTTTTGTAACGTTTTAAGTCTTTTGGAATAAATTTATCAACAAATATTTTTTCAGGTGCCAGCTTTCGAAACATCTGATGGCAAGTACCTAGAAGACGGTAACGCGATCGCCTACTATTTGGCCAACGACCAGTTAAAAGGAAAATCTGAATTCGACAAGGCCCAAATCTTGCAATGGATTGGTTTTGCAGAAGGCCAAATTTTGCCACCAGCTTGCGCTTGGGTTTTCCCTGTCCTGGGAGTTGTCAAAAGCTCCCCTATCTCAAACGAGGTAAGAGCAGATTTTCATTAAATGTTATAATTCAGGGGCTTGGTGCAAGAACAGGGTATCTCCATATTTTTGATAAATTGAGTTGGGTATAAGAAGTTACACCCTTCAGTAGTCCACACAGTTTGGTGCACAAACCGTGTAGATCCACGTTAGCATTAACTAAATATATCAGATACAGGAGATACCGCAGAAATTATACTGTGCAAAATAATTTTTAACAAGGTTTTTTTTTTCTCCTGAACATTTTCTGAATATGGAGATACCCAGATCTTGCACCAAGCCCCTCAATTATCCTTATTGTTAAGTTTTTAAACATTTTTAGACTAGTTTCAGATGTTTTAGCATGTTTATTAGACAATTGTGAGATAATTTAAAAATATAACAATTTTTGTGATAATTTAGACAGTTTTTGAACATTCCAGATAGTTTTAAAATAGTTTAATACAGTCATGACATTTTTAAAGTATCTTAAGACATTTTAGAGTTTTACACATTGTGTGTCATAGTTTTTAAAATAACAATTAAAATTATCAAAGTTAGTGTTTCTAATAGAGGTTTTTGTAAAAATTTGTGTTCTCTTCTCAAAGACAGATTTTGTGGTTTCAATCCCAAAATTTGTAACAAAAAGAGAGAAATTGTACAGGAGTTTTAAACCATTTTTTATTCTAGAAAATTGAGTAGAAAAATCAAAAAATGCTCCCACATTATCAACTTCTCAACCACATACAAAATGTCTTGTATTTTCCCCATAATTACACATTTTTTATATTTTTGCTTAATTTTAATAATCTTTTTATTAAAAAAAAACAGTTTTAGAATTGTAAACAGATATTTTATGTAACCAAAACAAACATAATAACAAAATTAAATTAATTGAGAGCCTTAGAATAAAATGGGTATAATTATGCTGCCCTGTTAAGCAAAATTGCCTTATCTATAATATAATATTAAGTAAAAATGATCTTTTGTCCTTTATTACTTACTATTGTAGATAAGGATGTTTTGCTTAACAGGGTAGGTGCAATTTTCCCTAATTGTAAAAGATTTATATGTTATATACAAAGTTTATTGTATTTTTTGCAATTGTTTTAATATTTTTTTATACTTAATTCTCTATCTTTTGTGCCATATTTGTTAAAATAAAACAATTAAAATTATCAAACTTGGTGTTTCTATTGGGGGTTTTTGTAAATAAAAAATTGTGTTCTTCTAAAAGACAGATTTTTTTGTTTCAATCCCAAAATATGTAGCAAAAAGAAAGAAATGTTACAGGAGTTTTAAACCATTTTTTATTTTATAAAATTTAGTAGAAAAATAAAAAAAATGCATTATTTAGATATTTTTTACAAAATGTATAAAAGATTTTTACAAGGTTATTCAAAATGTCTTGTATACAAGATTGACCAGATTTCCAAAAACGACAAAAATATTTATGACATTTAATGATATCTTTAGGCATCTGCAAGGGCAAAAGACGACCTTAAGGCCGCCCTTACCGTTTTGAACAGCCATCTTCTCACTCGTACCTATTTGGTAGGAGAACGCATCACCCTGGCCGATATCGCTGTGGCATGCAACATATTAAACGCTTACAAATTCGTTTTGGACCCTGAATACAGAAAGCCATTCGTCAACGTCAACAGGTCAGTCAAAAAATGTTTATTTTGCGCCCATTAAGTACCTTGTTCACACTCTAGATGGAATAGTGCATGCTGATGTTATGTTTTTATTTATCGCTTGAAGGTAGCACTGGCGTAAATACAACAGCAAATTTGGCGAAAATTTGTTTAAAAACGCATATTTTGCCCATATTTTTCACAAAAGACCATGAAAAATTGTGCTTAATTTGAGTTTTTTCTTAGATGGTTCAACACTTTGGTCAACCAGCCACAATTCAAGGCCGTTTTGGGTGCAGTAGAACTATGCAGCAAAGCTGCGGTATCTGGTGTTGCAGCTGGAGACAGTAAGTTTTATTTTATGATAACAATAATTTTTACTAATATTTCCTTCTAACATTACAAGCTGCTAAAGTGAATAGTAATGCTCAAAAAGAGATTACTAATACTACCAATTCAGGAGAAAAAAATACTTCTACCACTACTAATAATAATACTAACAATAATGCAACTAATAATACTACTTCTAACAGTAGAAGTAGTAGACGGAGTAAGTTTTAAGTGTGAGGTTTTTATTTTGCGTATATTTGCAACCATATTTTATTTTTTATTAAATTCTTTTACCTTAAACATTTGAGCATGACAACTTAGCGGAGGTAGTAGTTCAAACTTAATGCAGTGTTGTCAGATTGTGTAGAAGTAGTATGTTGTCTGCAGATTGTCAACAGATTGTAATACTTTGCAGACAAAAATAAGAAGAAGGAGGAAAAGAAGAAGCAGCCGCAACAACAGGCTGCCAAAAAAGAGCAGCCCAAAAAGGAAAAAGAAGTGGAAGAGGAAATGGACGCTGCGGATGCCGCGTTGGCTATGGAACCGAAAAGCAAGGATCCCTTCGATCTGTTGCCGAAAGGCACGTGGAACGTGGACGACTTCAAACGTTGCTACTCGAACGAAGATGAGACCAAATCCATCCCATACTTCTGGGAGAAGTTTGACCATGACAACTACTCCATCTGGTTCGGCGAGTACAAGTACAACGAGGAATTGGCCAAAGTATTCATGAGCTGCAACCTGATCACCGGCATGTTCCAACGTTTGGACAAAATGCGTAAAGCTTGCTTTGCCTCTGTCTGTCTCTTTGGAGAAGACAACAACAGCACCATCTCCGGAATCTGGGTGTGGAAAGGGCAGGATCTTGCCTTTACTGTAAGAATATTTTATTACCACTACCAGACAGATTTTTTATAATTTCAAATTTTTCAAGATATTTTAACATTTTACAATAGTTTTAGATCGCATTGTTTTTTGTTTGTAGTTGAGCCCTGACTGGCAAATCGACTATGAAACGTACGACTGGAAAAAACTGGACTCTAAATCAGAGGAAACAAAAAAATTGGTGGCACAATACTTCTCATGGACTGGCACTGACAAGCAAGGCAGAAAGTTCAACCAGGGCAAGATCTTCAAATAAAACGACGCCTTTTTATTGTTTTTTTTTACAAACAAATATTCCCCCGTTCTGTAAAATCAAAGATATTAATATAAACATGATTTTATATACACATGTGTTATTTTTCTATTCGTTTTTAAATTGTTTTTCGTTTTTTCGCCATGTTTATGTTGTATATTTGATCAGCGGCGGCGCGGCTCCTTAAGTCAACTATTATTTATTTTTACTTCGCAACCCCGCCCCCAAAAAACCTTAATACTTTGTTATATAGAATGGAGTTCTAATAAAAACTACTTTATGTAAAAAACTGACTTCTTTATTATTAACAGACTTACGAAATTTCATTTTTTATTTTACAAGTAAAAATTTCTGTAATTAATAGTAAATTATGTATTATGGAAGAGAAAATGCGCATTATCTCGAGTGTAATACTTGTGCTTTTTCCATTTCAATTAATAAAATTTAAAACCTCGCTATTTCCCGATTTTAATTATCGTTATAATCGCCCCTCCTATATATAAAAAAATGACATTTCACGTTTTCAAATCGCAGTGAATATTAAAATCGGCAAATCACTGAGGTCTAACAACGTGAATAATAGGTTTATTATAATCACCTGACCAACATTTTTTTTTATTTATATTAACAGTCTTTACCTCTAAAATCGCAATTTTGCGATATATTCATAAATGACCAAAAGAAAAAATGCATAATTATTAATTAATTATTAGTTAACTCGCAATTTTGCGATATATTCATAAATGACCAAAAGAAAAAATGCATAATTATTAATTAATTATTAGTTAACTCGTTAATAGATATTTTTGTTTTTTCAAACGTTTCCAATAATAAATTTGGCAAAGAAACCCTTTTTCAAAGAACGCCCTTTTTCTTAAATTTTGAATTACAGCGCCATCTGTTGATAAATTGAAAAAAAGTTTCAAATAAAAGTTATTAATTTTTTTATGTACTAACAAAATCTGTGAAAAAAATCGGGTTATCCCATTTGACTTTCCAAAGTTACCCCCCAGTTCACCCTTAAGGAGGGGTAGGGGTAGCAGTAGCACCAAATAATGTCTCCTTTGGTCACATTAACCTTTTATTTAAAGTCGTTTTTTCGCGTAAATACTATGTAATACTACGGTTAAATAAGTCATGACGTCACAGTTAATTCATATAACCATGGTTAGGTTTCTAACATTTGACATTTGTTTACTTGTTCATAACCTATAATTTTTTAAATGTGTTTTTACCTATTTATATTTAATTTCTATGCTTTTACCGGTGTAAATAAATTTCTTTGCCTCTTCTTATACCTAGTATATTCTTTTTCTATAGGTACTAGTTTTTTCAATACACGTTATCCAATTCTCCTACATGTTTAATACCAATACAAAATAAGGAAGAATATAAAAGAAACCTGCATGTAATTCCTCCACTTGTGGATATTCCACAATATGGAGCACCCTATCATTTATTTTTACTGACAACACCCCGTTTTCCATTTTAATACAAAGTTTAAATTCGGTTTACCTACTTAAAATATTTTAAATTTCAAATGTAAAAAACTTTTTGACAGATCGAAACAGAGAAAAATATATATTAAAAAGAGAAAGACTATTAACCACGTTGAATAACTAGCTCAGCGATATAGTTTTATGGTTTGGTATTTGTGACGTCATAGTTAGCATTTTTGAACGCACTCTAAACGCAAAAATGCCTTAACTATTAACCAAGGTTAAGTTTAATAACCATAGTATTTCATGGTATTTACGCGAAAAAACGACTTATGGTCATTAAACTTAACCTTGGTTAATAGTTAAGGAATTTTTGCGTTTAGAGTGCGTTCAAAAATCCTAACTATGACGTCACAAATACCAGACCATAAAACTATATCGCTGAGCTAGTTATTCAACGTGGTTAATAGTCTTTCTCTTTTTAATATATATATTTAATATGTTTATGTAGGAATAATGTTGTGTGCTAAACATATCTTCTCCAAAACATACCGCCAACCTTCGTCTTTTTCTTTGGGGTTCCATTCTAAATTTTGAGTTTCACAATAATAATTTTCGTATAAACGTTAAACACTGTTGGATTTTAGTTATGGCAAACAACAGGGAAGAACTGTTTATATATAAAAAGAGGTATAGAAAAGGTAGGTATAAGAACTAGGGTTCATAGAAAAAGAATATACAAGGTATAAGAAGAGGCAAAGAAATTTATTTACACCTGTAAAAGCATAGAAATTAAATATAAATAAGTAAAAACACATTTCAAATATTATAGGTTATGAACAAGTAAACAAATGTCAAATGTTAGAAACCTAACCATGGTTATATGAATTAACTGTGACGTCATGACTTATTTAACCGTAGTATTTCATAGTATTTACGCGAAAAAACGACTTAAGACATTTTCCCGTGAAATGCGTATTTCTCGAGATATTGAGCTGTCTCAAGTTAAAAGAAACACCCTGTATATATACAACGGGAATCTATAAACGACAATACGGTTTTCTTATTGTTCATCTTTTACGGGAGGAACGAAGGAAGACAATCTATAAATCACGCTTAAGTGTTTAAAGAAAAATTAACTTGGCAACGCTGCCGCGTTTATGACACTTCTGTCAAAGTTCTTTGACTTCTGTGTTCTTCATATAACAAACACAGATTATAAAGGTATACATATAAATATATGATTGTGTTGTTTATATTCTATGATCGTATTAGTGCTTTTAATTGATATCGCTATTAGCGAGTCGCTAGATTTAAATTTGAATTAAATATTGCATTAGATTAGGCTTTTATAACATAAATAACTAAAAAATGCCAAGAAAATGTTGCATTCCCAATTGCAATAGCAATTATGCTTCGGCAAAAAATTCAACAGAAAAAGTGTACGTGCCAGTGTTTCAATTTCCAAAAGACAAAGAGTTATGCGAAAAATGGAAAAAGTTAATTCCTCGGAAAAATTTTATCCCCACGGAATATTCTGCAGTGTGTATTAAACACTTTGAACCTGCCTGCATTCCAACTGGTTATGTTTATAAAGATAAGTCGGAAAATACGAAAATCTTCAATTACGATCGCCCAAAACTGAAACCAGGTTCTTGTCCTACTATATTTTCAGGTCAGCCGAAAAAGTTAAACAAAGTAACTGCTCCAAACCGAAAAAGCCCTGATAGTCGTCGATCGGAAATTTTAGCACGAAAAGAACAATTAAATAAACAAATTGAATTGACCAAAATAGAAGCTGATACTATTAAGGACTATGAGTCATTTAAAACTGCGGTTTCGGAAAAAGTTCAGAATTTCAATAATTCTAGAAAGACAGATTTACAAGTGCAAATTAAACAGGACTTTATACTTATTTATTTCTTTGACTTTGACACAATGAGGTGTAAATTTTATATAAAAACTGATGTAGACTTAACACCTAAAATTTATGTTAATAATATTCAACTCTGTATTAATGAAATACAGTTAATCTTACTGGACAGTAACAAAGTTAATATGTGGTCAAAGCTAGAGAAGATTTTGGACCATCTATTAAACAAAGATTTTATGGTTAGTGTGGAATCTCTTGTAGAAGATATAATGGAGAAAATTGAGACAATTAAAAATAAAGTAATGTTAGAGGATAACAGTGAGGAAAAAATTATTCGAATATCTATTTTATGTGAACAACTTGCTCTAATTTTTAAAGAACAAAAGCGCTATAGTCCCAGAATGATGATGAACTCTTATTTGATTTATATGCAATCGAAAAAATGTTATGAAGCTTTAAGATCTAACAACATTCTCACATTACCTCATCCAAAATATATTCAACAGCTTACAGCTTCTTTGAATGTTTCTCCTGGGAGTTCCTTAGAAAACCATCACATGAAATTAATTGGAAGCAAGTTAAAAGAGGAGTTTGATTCATCAAGTAATTAAAGATACTTGCATATGAAGGGGTAAGAAGCAAAAAAAAGAAATGGAGTTATTAACTAAAGATTTGCTATATACCTACAAAAATCTGGATACTTGTTTTTTAATAACAGTTCTGTTTTATTTTAAGAGCATACACAAAAACATATTCTTAATTTAAATCAAATATACCTATGTGTACTTGTGTTTATTTAAATTAAATCTGTTGAAAATTTCTTTTTTAAATAAATATAATAATTTATTTTAAGTAAACTTTAATTTTTAAAAGAGTATAATTTCTATGTTTAAATACAAGAAAATTTAATTGAAGTACCTAATTATTTTTAATAGTAATAGATAAATTAAACTAATTTTTTTATAAAGTTAAACTTAACAAAATTATTATTTATTATTCCATATAAACATTAGACTACACTTATTTCAAATATACAAATCCATATATTAAAATTGAATAATTATTTTTTGTGTGCAGTTCTGTTTGTTTTGAATAAATTACTATTTTAATAGAAGTTCTCTGTTCTATTCAATAAATTACTTGGTACATATTGCCCACTGCTTCATTAAAAATTACTCCTTAAGAGCAATAATAATCCATAACTGGTTGAAAAGCAATGTACACATACTATGTGTCACATAGTGCTCCTGAAGGGTCGGCAGTGGCAGAAAAAACTATTGAGTAAGGACACCTTCCTAAAAATATATCTAATAACCTTTAAATCGTACCGTGTTTTTTAGGCGTTCTTGTAGTTTTTAGGAAAAATGTATAAAAAATTCAATTCTATGATGGTTTATTTTATTGATAAGCTTCAAGGACATAATTTTTTTCTATTATAAATAAAATATCTGATGACTAACACAAAATAGCTATTTGTGTATTAAGAGCGCAAAGTGATACATTGCCGCTCTGGGCGGCTATCTCGCGAGAACGGCAATGTCACTTTGCGCTCGAATTACACATAGGATTTTTTCTACAACCGGTGTTTCTATAAGAATCTTCTTCTTCTTCTTTGGTCTAAAAAAACGTCTCCGTTTCTTCAAGGGGGATGGCCTTTAGCTTATTTAAAAACTATTTGGCCAGCTCATTAATAATGAGTCATTATTATATCTTGAATATACATTATGATCAAGGGACCCAGTTAAGAGTGTCTGAGATTTCTCATCCCTTGATTTTTGGGCTTTTATAGATTTGTTTGTCGCTTATGTGTGGTAAACTTTTTGTTTGAGTAGAGTATTTTTATGTTTTTTGTTTTAAATTAAAGTTAGTATAGGACAAAACACAACAAAGGTTAAAAACTTTTCACGCTTGGGGGCAGCGGCCAAGCGACTTGGACAACCCCAAAGATGCTACCTCGGAAGGGGATCCCAGGATATGAGTTAGGTGTGGATCTAAAAAAAAAATATATGATTAAATTTTGATTTTGTTTGTGTCAAAGTAGTTAAGTATAATTTTTAAGTTCTTTTTGTTTGAATTTTTCAATATTGTAGGTATGCTGGCAGGGAGGATAATGTCATTTTTTGCCAGTTCAAAGTAGATGTCTGTTCCAGGTATTTTGTTTATGGGACATTCCAGTAATATGTGGTATAAATTTTCTTCCTCTCCGCATTCACAGATAGGGTTATCCTCTATTCCTATTCTATGAAGATGAGTTTTAAATAATCCATGTCCAGACCTTAAACGTATGATTGTTGTTAGATGTCTTCTGTTTTTGACCTTATTTGTATGAAACCATGGTTTTATTGGAAAGTTTTCTTCAATTTGATTGTACCATTTTCCTTTGTATGTTGATATTTTTTTCCATTTTTCATTCCATTCCTTTATAATTTGTTTCTTTAAGTTGGGCATCATTTCATACATGTCGTGTTGGCATTCCAGGGGGACATTAAGGTTGATTCCAATTTTAGCCAGCTGATCTGCTTTTTCATTTCCCTTGATATCATTGTGGCCTGGTATCCATCCCAGTTTGAATTCAAATCCATTTTCATTTGCTGTAGTTATTAGTTTCTTAGTTGCCAGAGCTAAATAGTTGTCTTTTGCATTGTAGTTAGTATTTGTTAGTATTTGCAGTGCACTGAGAGAATCGGATAGAATTAGATTTTTTTTACTATTTTTGGAGAGCGCAAGCCCTTACATATTGCTGCTATTTCAGCGGTGCAAATCTGTAGGTTATTTGGTAATCTTGCCGCAAAATGAATTTTTAAGTCGGGGCTGTATACTCCGATACCCGTTTTTATGTCTATCTTGGATGCATCTGTGTAAATAATATTGAATTTTCTTTGTTTGAAGGTTTCGATAATTGGCATGATGTTTATATTGTTGTTGGGATTGTTTTTGCTAAGTTCTAGATCTATAAGGTCGATTTCTGAAAATTGGTAGGAATATTCGATTTCGAAGCATGGTAGTAAACAATGTCTTCTGCCTATGTTGATGTACTCCTTTAGGAGGGGGAGGGATTGTATTAAGGTAAACGCTCTAGTAGTTGACATTATAATGAAGAAAAAAAAGGTTTTTTGCTTTTATACCTATATTTTATTTTATTTTTTTAGATAATGCAGTATAGTTCTGTACTTTATTTCCTTGTCAATGAGATAAAATGAGGTATTTTAAAAATAGAAATACAGTTTTTTTTTAAGATTTTTTTTTTAAATCTAAAATTTTTTTTAGTACTTGACACTCAAAAAATTAAAAAATCTAGTAGTTGACATATAATAAGTATTAGTAGTTGACATGAAAATGAAACAATTTTATATGCTAATTAGAAAGAATTTTAATCCACGACATACAAAAAACTAAATATAAACATGTTTAGAGGGACTATTATTTTCAACCATCAACTTCAATGGGTGTCAGAAATTGGTATTTAAGTCTCTCTCCAGCAATAATAATTTTAGGGTTTGGCAATTTCTTGAGTATTTGGTTCAATTTGATAAAACTTATATCTTTATCGTTTGGTTTGAAAATAGTTTTATTTTCGTCACAACAATTCATACCAAGAACTTCAACTTCGCTATTTTCAAAGACTTTTTGTATAATGCATACATATTTATAATCCTTTATACTGCCGGGGAATTTGACTAATATATATTCACCTTCTTTATAATCATTTACTCTTTCCTCCTCAGGCTCTTTATCATTGTCTTCTTCAGAAGATAAGTCATCTATACTACTTCCAGATTCAACCCATGACTCATCATCAGTAGTTGAGGAATATTTTCGTTTCCTCGTAGATGGCTTTTGTTTCTTCTCAATAGTCTTCTGTTTTTTGCGTTGCTCCAGCTTTTCTTTTTTTAAAATATCATTCTCTTGTTTTTTCTTCTGCCTCTCTTCAGCTCTTTTCTTTTTTTCCTCTAGTAAACGTAGCTTTTTGTTCTCTTTATTTTCATGGTAGCCTTGCCATTCTTTTGATGTAACAACTGCTGGTATCTTCTCTACTTTTCGTTTTTTTTAAGGTCGCGGGCTTGGGTTCAGGCCAGAAAAGCACACGCTTGAAAGGGGAGGGCACAATTTCTTCAGGCGATGAGTGAATGTTTATTAAGTCAAAATCAGGTGGATGAGTGGTTCTGACACTTGTGATAGAGGGGCCTGGTAGATTTGTTTTTGCAGAATCAACATCGGATTCTTGAGGAGATTTTGGCGACTGGTCAGTATTTTTATTATCCTTTGTTGGTGTTACATGGGGCTCATAAATCGCCGATTTATGTACATCTACTTGCACCAATATCTTGTTGAAAGTATCTGCTTCAGATATGGGTATTGGTTGTGCATTTATTTCAGTGTTTAAGTCTTGTATTAAATTATCCAGGGCGGGAAGAGCGGGTTGGTTGATGCTATTATTATTAACCTCTTCATCTTCAGATATTAAATTTGTTGCATCTTGTTCTTCTGCAGATTTTTTTGATTGAATGTTTTTTATTTCTTTTTCAAGATTATTGTATCCCAGGCAAATATTCTTATAGAAAGTAAAAAGTGATAAATCCTGGTTGTCACCATTCCAATTTTCACTAGATTTGAAACTAATTAGTTTCTCTTTATCTATATATTTTTCCATAAAATGTATACCATCTTTTAATTCCTGCAGTTTTCGCTCTTTCTTCACAATATCAATTTTCTGATTGGGAAATGTAATAGCACCGACATTCCAAGGAACAAGGCCACATTTTCGGAACCCATTTTTCAAAATGGATGGTGTAAGTTTATCTGCCAATACTTTTTCTAGAAGTGGGCAAAAATGAATTTTTCTTAAAACTGGTGACTGACAATGATCGATGCGCCATTGATGAACTGCATCTTTCCAACCACCTTTCAAGGATCGAAATACAGCAACATCCATAGGCTGAATCAAATGCGTTGCATTTGGGTAAAGAGCTACTAGGATTATACCATTTTCAGCACAAAATCTACTTGTATGCAAGGTCAGGTGGGATGAGTGGCCGTCAATGAAAAGAATGACAGGGCGAGGAATTTTCATTCTAGTCAGCCATTTCTCAAAGATATTCGTGATGAATTCATAAAATGTTTGTCCTGTCATCCAGCCGCTTTCCGATCTTCCAATACCCCATTCGTTAGGAACACTAAATGCTAATTCTCTAGGAACACGTTCATATTTAAATATCACCATTGGTGACACTACCTGACCTGCAGCATTTCCGGTGACAAGAACAGTTAGGCATTCTTTCTCATCCGGGTTAACTTGTTGGTAAATGGTCTTGTCACCCTTTCTGGCCAATACCTTACTACCCTTTGGATTAAGGAAGAATGCGGTTTCGTCTGCATTAAAAACTCTACAAGGATCTTGTAGAATATCCTCGGAGTTACTCTGTTGAAGGTAGCTGTACACTTCAGTGAACCATTTCTCAATTGATTCTTTTTTTACAGCTGCTCTGGAAGATGTAAGGTTTTGTGCAACTCTATTGCTTATCTCAGGATTTCTTTTTAGAAAACTGGCAAGCCATGTTCTTCCGGGTTTGTTATCTTTAAATGGATTTTGTTGCTTTAATTGCATCATGAGCACCTAAAAGTAAATGAACTTTAATTTATTGGCTGTGATTAAAGTTTAAGATTTTATACTTGAACACTGGTCATCAGTTGGTGAGGCTGTACAGGAAATCCCGCTTTCGCTACGTCTATAATCCATTTTACAAGTATTCTTTCTTGCTCTGGTAAAATGTATGGTTGGGGACCCATTTTCCTAAGGTCACTCTGGGAATATTGTATTTTTTAGCTGTTGTGGAAACTGCTTGTCCCCGTAGAACTTCTTGAATTGCCTTCTCCATATCCTCTTCACTGTACCTGAACATTTGTCCCTTTATAGGCGGCATACTTAATCTAAAATTTTATGTTTCAGTAGATGACACCCTAAAATTCTAGTAGATGACATTAGTGTCAACTACTAGATCCACTGAACTTAGTGCAATATTATTGATAGAGGATTATTTTTTTTTAAATAATGAAAAAATGCACTAAAAAACGTATTAAAATCAAGAGTCTGTGCATAACACTAGTAGTTGACATCAATGTCAATTACTAGAAAACTTGGTTCTCTTGTTTTAGTGTTTGACACCAAGCTTATTCCTCATTTAGAGGTTAGAATTCGTTTTTTTTTAAAGAACATTCATTTCTCTTATACCTGCACATCAAAATGGTACAACTATAATCAAAATCATGCAAAGTTTAATTCAGAAATATTTTTTTTTATAAACTTACCTTCTTATCACATATATTAAGAAAATTCACAACAAATAAACTGGATTTGACCATGCAACACAAAATTGGCGCCAAACTCCGGTTTTGAGCCAGAATGATTTCAAAATTGGACAGTCACCTCACAGATGTCGCTAGTTAGTCCTAGCGTTCACAGAATGTTAGAAATATTTTTTAATTTCCTATTTTGAACGATTAAAATCAAGAATGTCAACTACTAACACGGTGTCAAGTACTAGTGCGTTTACCTTATATAGGGTAGGGATTTATTTCTCCAGTATGTAGTTGGACGAGAACAATCGATTTTTAGAGAAGAAATTACTTGAATTATAGGGTGTGATTTGTATCTTAGAATTTTTAATATCAATTTGCTGGTTAGCCAAATTCGTCTTTCATTTAACGGAAGTTCCGCACACTCCGCAAGTACTACATTGGTGGGAGTTGATCTCATTAGTCCTGTTATTGTTCTGAGAGCTTTAAACTGGATGGTGTTCAATTTGTTATTTAGGGATTTTTGAATGGGGCTAAATAGTATGCTACCATGATCTAGATGTGATCTAACAATTCCAGTATATGGGTGAAAATCAAAAAATCTTTGGAAAACGACCTACAACAATTAAAAAACTAAAATGTTGCTTTTTGCCCATTAAACTTTTTAATATTCTAAAATAAAGATTTCGCAACATAATAAAGCTAATCTTTGAGATCAAGGAAAGGTAGTTTTTTTGTTATGTTGATAATTGTTGTCTTCTGATCTCAATTATGTCTAGTCGGTAACAGTATAGTTTGTCGGGAATAAAGGTTCTGTAAATGGAATAATAATCAGAATATATGTTTAAAAAAATACTTATAGTAAATACCATTAAAATCAAAATTGCAAATATTGGTGTACATCAGAAAAATGTAACAAATCTCATATCGACATCAAAATTTTACCGCTAGAACAGTTACCGATTAGACATCGTAAAAAAATACGGTAGCGTTTTTATGCAAACAAGCCTAAATATATTTTTTTAAGGCATAAACAGAAAAACTTACCTGGTTTGAATGACACATAAACACTAACTCTAGCACACTAACCAACAAATGACAGGTATTACGTATCCTGGCGGATTTTAGGCGAAATTACAGTTATCGTTACCGACAGGATGCGATCAAAGCAGACAGTCTGTTACCCAAAGGCTGGATCTTTAAAACCAAATTGTTTTTAAATAAAATGTAATTTATTTAATACTTGGTGTTAGTTTCTTTAAAGTGATTTACATTTGTCCTGTTTTTAAAAATGATTTGATTGAAAAATCTAGCGTAAAATTGTAAAACGTAATAAGGGACGCGTTACCGACGAGACAAAATAGCTCTTTGTTTTTCTTTTTAATCGATGTTTTTAAATCTGGGTAAATATTTAATATAAATTTCGTATAATTAACATGCAGAAATAATACTAATAAGTTTTGAGACACTTCACTTCTTTTTCTAATTTTTAATTAGCCAAAGACGCCTACCTAAACATTTTTTGATTTTTACCCATATAGTATATGTAGGATCTTAGGGTCCGCCCCCCACCATACTCTAGAGACGGCTCTTAGGACATTTATTCCTTGGTTGGCTTTTGCGATTACTTTATTTACTTGTTGTTTCCAGTTAAGATTTTCTTCAAGAATGATTCCTAAATATTTTACAGAGGATTTTCTTGGTATTATTTTGTCGCCTATCTTGACTGGTGGTGGAGTGACTCTAGATTTTCTCTTTTTGAACCAGATATATTCAGTTTTCTCAGCTGAGCAGGATAGTTGGTGATCATTTAGCCACTTTTCCAACTTCCTCAACGTATTGTTTATTGTATATACCATAGTATTTATGTTATTTCCCTTGGTAAAAAGCACGAGGGATTATTTTAAATATTGTATGTATTGTCTATAAGAATGTTTGGTAAAAATTAATAATTATTGATAACCTCAAATTTGACGTTTGGGTCAAAAGTCGCAAATAAACTAAACTTGTGGTTTCCATGGTAACTAAGCGAGCGACAAAGTAAATAAACGCTCGCTTCTCAGAAAAGTGCAACTTTGCGGTTTTTTTTGGAAGCGCAAATTTGTACTTTTCGCTTGGTTATAGAAAATAGTATATTCTGCAACAAGTTTGGAATACAGCATATTCCGCTCGAGTGAAGAGTTTGTCACACGAGCCGAAGGCGAGTTTGACGGTTTCACGAGAGCGGAATATGCAATTCCAAACGTGTTTCAGACTATACTTCATGGGGGGCCAGCTTTTTAAAGGAAATTGGCAACAAATTTTTGAGCGACATCTATCTTTTGCCATCTTGCTCATGCGCGTATCATTCTTGTCGGTGTGACTCATCGTAAAGTTTGACAGTTTGTTATGTGTGTTATCGTCGCCTTCAGGAGAAAATTGCTTAACTCCATGTTGTAAAATTTTACAGGAGGAAAGAAAAACATATTAAAGGTGTATTGGTGTATCTCCACATTACCGCCAAAAAATTGTTTAATGGAAAATTACGTATCTCCAATATGTACTTTATGTTAATAAAAGTAACCTTAAATTATTCATGGTACCTTAACTTTACACACTATACAATTTTTCATACTTACATACAGAAAAAATAACTAGGCAATAACTTATACTTGTCAATGGCACTGATTTGTATATTGGAGTTAGGCATTATTCCCTGGACGCTCCTCCACGATTGGAGATACGTATATTTCTTTTTCTAAATTTAAAATTAACGGTTTATTTTAGGACTTCTGTAACTTGCATATAAATTAGTTACAGTTATATCTAACAGATGCCACTAAAATACAATTTTAATGAAATTGTGGAGTTACGTGATTTTCTCCTGAAGGCGACGTTATGTAGTTTTCAACAATGGCCGATGTTGTTGTTTGAAATTGTGTGTTGTTTTGGTTTTTTTAAGGTAAGTTTAATTATTGTGGTAGGTGATAAACTTTTATAAAACTCCAGTTTTGAATTTCTAAACTAAATAAACCATTCAGTTAGTTATAGAAACAAATTGTTGAATCGTAAATTACTTAATTAATGCTTTGTTTTTTGTTTTCATACCTATGCATGTATATTTATAAATGTAGTTTTGTCATATTTGCGTTAATCCGGCTTTGATTTGAGCAACTTGTCCTCTCATCAACAGTTTTATCAGTATTTTTTCTTTCATATCCATCTTATAATTTTGCAAATAGGTATGATTATTTGCTTAAATCGAACCATACATTTGTTCCATGTTAATGAGTTCATATTTTGATATTTATGCCTGTTTTTATTTATTTATTAATATTATTTTACACTAGTGTTCACATAATACAACAGGCTTTTGCTAAATTAGACCGCATTTGCTAATAGTAATGTTTAGTTAAGTAGGTATACACAAAGATAATAATAATATCTTTGGGTATACCTACAGTATATACTTAACTAAACATTACTATAGTATAGTTATTAAATGATGGTTAATTTTATTTGGAAATTGTTTAAGCGTTGAGTGAAGAAACACACCTTAATCAATGGTTTAAGGACTAACCAAGGAGAAACAGGATACAAGGATTGAGTAAACTCATCACTTAAAACATAAATAAGGTAAATTTTATTTTTAAAATTTAAAATTGTTTTTAAAATAAGATTTTTATAGGTTATATCCAATGAAATTATTCTGGAATGAAACTATCCATATTTTGGTCAATGTTTTGCCAGAGGGGTCCTGCTTAAAAACTATCCAGCTTACTTTCTAACTTTTGATCCACAATATAGAAAAATGTAGCAGATGCTAATCAAATTTAATCATATATCATTATTCTTCATAATTGGTTTAAATAAATATAAATTTATTTTAATAACTAGGTATTAATATATATTTTTATTTATTTTTACTTATTTTAGTTTTTAGCATATGTTATTAACAAGGGGTTGTCCATAAAGTAGGTCACATGTTTAGGGGAAAGGCAGACCTGCCCCCTGCTTAAAATACCCCATAGAGACCCTGTTCAAACCGATAGATATTTGTATCGGGATGTATGGTGTTTCTATAGGGTGTATCAGTTTGTATAGGACCCATAGTTGAGATTTATGGTTGTTCTATAGGGATATCCACCATTGATTTATTTGCTATCGGTTTCAATGGGGAAAATACACATAAATGTAGAAATTAGTTTTTTCCCTATAGGACCCCATAGGTTTTAATAAAATTTTGTCAAATGTTTTATGGTTGTTCTATAGGAATATCCCTATATATCCTTCATTGAGTTATTTTCTATCGGTCTCAATAGGGAAAATGTAAAAGTTATGGTGTGCCTATAGGTAATTTCCTATACATTTTCTATCGGGCTGTATCCGGAAAAAACCTTGGACAAATGCACATATTGAAACCGGTAGCGCCCTATAGAATATTTTGTATAGGTCTCTATGGGGTATTTTAAGCAGGGCCACCAGGGTCAAGACTGAAAATATTATAACATCATTGATTAATATAACATAATAATATAATTATGTGGGACATGAGGGGAGGGAGTCTGAAATTCTCCAAAAAGGTGTGATATACTTTATGGATGATCCCAATTGTTTATTTTAAGTATATTTTTATGTGGGATTCCACTTTTTAGTCTGACAAAATACTTATTTATATATAACCTATAACCTATGTTAATAGATTTAACTGTAATGTTGCTATTTTTGTGTAATATATACAAGGTATTAAAAATGTATTAAATAAGATTTTTTGTCACTAAGAAAATTGACTGTTGTAAATGTTAATTAAGTATTTTTTTAGCATTATATCAGAGACTCTTTGATGAATGTGCACAAACGATGATCAAATTATATTACCTGATTTAATACTAATTAACTAAGTACCTATTTAAAAACTCATAATATCTTACAATGTATTTTTATTCAAAGGTTACTAAATGTCTTTATAATGTATAAAACAAATTGTTTTAAACAATTAATAGTTTATGTGTTGAAATTCGGCTCTTTAGGTTTTATTGTATTAAAATATACTAATATAATACTTATATTATCTTCAAGTAATTATTAAATCTCATTTTTGTTACAGAAAATCTAAAAATAACTTATTTATTTTACTAAAATAAAATCTAAACAGGCAAATTTATATAAAGTATGTAATGTAGTTAATTAACTACATTATGTGTAATAAACCATTAATTTAGGTTATATTGCCCTTCTATTTATGTATGTACCAATAAATGTGTATTTTAAATAATTTTGTATTTTTTAAATCAAAAATAAGTATTTTTAAATAATAACCTATTCAAATTTCGCGGGCTACGGAACCGCATCGAAAAACTTAAGATCAAGTAGGCCAGAGCGTGACCACCTCTTGTAAAATCGTTGTTGCCAATATTAGAATAGGAACTTTTAGTTCTATTATGTTCTGTGCTATACTTTTTCTACGTTTCCAAAAAATACCTACCATAGAAATATAATTTAATTGGAAGAAAGTGAGGTTAGATCGGTCTAAAATTTGTTAGATATTAAAAACAGAGATGTCGCCACGAGTGTTTATTCTGTCATCAGATGATAGAATATTTAATTCTGTAACACTTTACGGAATATATATGTCATTCCATAGATAAAAGTGATATTAGAAGGGTCAAATTCCGTAATAGGAGTAGAAAAATAACATTGCCCAACACTATATCAAGATAGAAAAAATTATCGCAGAAAAAGCATCAAAGATAGCCATGGTTTCGGCAGAAGTTAGTTTTTTGTTCGGTATTTGACGCATTGACACTATTAGGTTAGTTTTTATTTGTCTCTGTAGTGTGTTTAAAATCGTGTCAACTACAAAGAAGGAGCCCCTATTGTAAATGACCGATAGAATCCAATAAAAAATAAGTAATTGGTTTGAAATGTGTTTTGGCGCTATGAATCACCAATTCATTCCAGTTGCATTCCTATAGGTAAGTTCCAATTAAGTCAGCGGCTTAAATTGGAATATACCAATCCATGCCTATGCTTGTCTCTTTTGGCTAAATCCAATAGAAATGCACCTGGAATGAATTGGTAATTCATAGCGCCAAACCCATTCAACCCAATTTGAACCAATTTATTTTTTTTAATTTGGATTAAATTTTTAAAATACCAGTTGATTTTTTATTCAAAAATAATTAAGTTCCCAGAAGAATAACCGGGTATAAACCAGAATTCATTTTTCACAGAAGAGACAAAAAAATGATTATAACCGAGTAACTTTATTTCTTTATTATTTTTTGTGTTAGTGAGATTGATACATACATAACTTACTAACACAAAAAAGTAATAAAAAATAAATAAAATTACTCGGTTATTTTGTCATGTTTGTAGGCTTGGTCAAAATCAATATTGTTTATGTCAATTCGAACAAGGACTGCGTACGTTGGTTTTGCGCAGCTACACGAGAGCCCTCTTGCGATATTTTAAAGTATTGGGAATAATCAATTAGCAGATTCCTTTTTAGAATCTGACATTGGGAATGCCCCATCGAATTCAATTGGAAATTACATATATGGGTAGCTTTAACCAATCGAAACCACTAAAAAGCAGTAGGATATCCTAATTGGACTTTTCCATATATTAAAGTATTGGGAATAACCCAATTAGCAGATTCCTTTCTAGAATCTTACACTGGGAATGCCCAATTGAATTCAATTGGTAATTACCTATTGGTAGCTTTAACCAATCGAAACCAGTAAAAAACAGTAGAATCCTAATTGGACTTTTTCATATATTAAAGTATTGGGAATAACCCAATTAGCAGATTTCTTTTTAGAATCTCACATTGGGAATACCCCATCGAATTCAATTGGAAATTACATATGGGTAGCTTTAACCAATCGAAACCACTAAAAAGCAGTAGAATTCTAATTGGACTTTTCCATATATTAAAGTATTCGGAATAACCCAATTAGCAGATTCCTTTCTAGAATCTTACACTGGGAATGCCCAATTGAATTCAATTGGAAATTACCTATTGGTAGCTTTAACCAATCGAAACCACTAAAAAGCAGTAGAATCCTAATTGGACTTTTCCATATATTAAAGTATTCGGAATAACCCAATTAGCAGATTCCTTTCTAGAATCTTACACTGGGAATGCCCAATTGAATTCAATTGGAAATTACCTATTGGTAGCTTTAACCAATCGAAACCAGTAAAAAACAGTAGAATCCTAATCGGACTTTTCCATCATGGAAAATACCAGTAAAAACCAATTTCTGTTTTATATTACTCCCAATTAAACCCAGTCCAATTCAGACCTATTGATACCAACCAATTGGTTTCTATAAGGAATTAATCGGTCATTTACAACAGGGTAATACGGTACTGTATTAGAGACGTGACATCGGCATATTGTATTATATTTTGCTTAATAATATACGGAAGTTCGTTCGTATAAATAATGTAAAGAAGGGGCCCTAGTATGGAACCTTGTGGCACTCCTAAAAATTCGTTGCAATTTAAAATTAATGTTGCAATATTGAAATATCCAAATTGCAGAAAAGTACATATTTCAAAGAGTTTAAAAAAAAATGGAAATTGAAAAATGGAAATTGGCACAGTGGGACTAAAGCTTGATTTTTCTTATTAATGAAACAACTTTATTTTTGTGAAATATTTTTATTAATGCATTTTGTGTACAAAAAATAAAAAACGCTTCATAACTTGAGCAATGATAAAAATTCGTTGCAATTTAAAATTAATGTTGCAATATTTATACAAGAACAGTCCTACAATTTTGAGATCAAAAAATCAATTAGAATGATTTAATAATATTTTATTATATAATACGATAAATAAACCTAAATAAGCTGCTCAATTATTAAAAATTTATGGTTTATGGCGTCACAAATCTCTTTCAACAATGTCAATCTAACTATCTTTGGTCATTAAATTTTAGAAAACTTGGCAAAGTGGCACTTTGTAACCAATAGAAAACTAGCTGATTTAAGAGTATTTATGACATCACAATTCGCCCAACTATCACATAAGGGCGTATTTCATGTTTAACAATTTTAAAGTTTTTAGTTAATTTAAATTATTAAAATGAAATGTACTAATATAGGTAGCTAGGTTAGCTCAAAACTTTTAATCTTTAAATATGAGGCACGCCCCTATGTGATAATTAGGACAAGTTGCCAAATACAAAATTATGTGCTGCCAGTTTGAGTAAATAATTTTTGTGTAAATTAGTAATTTTTGGTGTTATTTTTTGCGCGCCACCGTTCATCACGGTACATTATTAAAAATAAAACCTGAGCCCTTATTTACATAACCTTACTCTTAACATTAAATAGTACGTGATTATTTATATATTTATTTATACACAAATACTGATAGATTTTTTAAGGCGATCTACGCCTCATTAACATTTTTTTAAATAAAAGTCGTTTAGAACTTTTTCTTTTTGAACACACCAATAATACACATTAAACATGCATATTTATTATATTATACTAAATATTTTAAAATATATATAAACCTATAAAAAATACATGTACAGCAATAAAATACTTAGTATAATATTTCGCTAAAATCCTAGCAAAGAGTGATTATAAACATCGATTTTTTATATATTATAAGACACAACATTTTTCCTTATTTGCAAACAGTTTTGATTTAAATTTTAACATTTATAACAAAGTTTATTGATGGCTTTATGCACAAAATTATACAGGGTGGTACATTGACATTTAAAAAAATACTGTATTTTGTGCACAGGGCCATCTGTGCTATATATTTAAAAACTAACTAAAATCTTAAGGCAAAATATATAAGGCATTCAAAAATTACCAAGGTGATTATCAATTAAGTAATTGTACCGATTGCAGGCAATTAATCAATTCCATAAAATTATTATTAGTTTGTTAGTACACTTAGTAACTAAGGTGACAATCTTAAACAATTAAATTATTATTGTTAGTAAAATGGACTAGAAAAAATTATAAAAAGTACCGGGTTTGTTTTTTCAGCCTACTCGTCTACCTAACACCCTGACTTAATTTTTTAAGGGTTTTGCGTTTCGATAATTGGGCTATGTAATCAATAATAATTCCGTGGTTGTGTAAAATATTAATACGCTATTTATAGAATGAAATAATATCAGAATTTAACAATATTTTATTAGTTATTGAGAACGTACTGACACATGTATCACAGTAATATACAGACATAATCTGTACATAAAAAATACGTGAAAACCCCTTAAATATACTTTAGATGAGATGACAACAATATTGTTGCCTAAATTTAAACTATATATATTTATAAGTAGTATAATAGTGACTGTAAGCTCAATATCAATTCGAGGCACATAATTACAAAAAACATTACTTTTTAGTTACGTAAAAATTATTCGCACGCCAGTTTGCTGTCGAAGCTGCTCAAAGCGATGGCGAACGCCTGAAAAGCACACAAAGGGTACCTGTAATCCATGGTAAAAATATCTTCGGCAACTCTCCCAAACTGCATCACAACGTAATCCGTATCGGAATCGTGCACGATCTGGAAATTCTTCACGGACGCCTGCGTAACCCTTCCGTGAAAATTTAACACGTAAGATTGAGTTTCGTCGTTCCACACTGGCGTTTTGTTGTGCAGTTCTATCAAATTGCCCATATTTTTGGCCTTCCAACATTCTATCAGCCCCTCGCTTTCGTCCTGCGGGTGTATAGTCACTCGTTCTTCGTCCACCATTCCTGGTAGCAGTACGGTCATTTTTCTAGGGCCTTTGAAACCCAAAACGTTCGTGTCGTATATGACTGCAGCCATTTCTTGTCTAGGAGACACCCCTTCCTTAAAGTTTGCTTTACGCGGCGAAAGGCCACTGTCGAATATCGTAAACTGCGTTCCCAGCATGTTGGAACGCAATTTTCCTTTAATAAAATGTAAAATTTGTCAAAAATGTGTACAATAAAAAATGACAAGATATAATGAAAACAAGCTAAAAAGAAAACTAGGTAAAAAACAAGCCAAAGTGACGAAAAGGTAAAATAACTAGTTACTAGGTACCCATTTTGGGTGGATCGGTCGCGGCGTAATAACCTCCACGCTGGCCAACTAGCGCTAGTTGATTTGTAATTTTTCCAAAAAGGGTTCAGTGACCTCGATTGACTAAAAACCGGGTGTCCGGAAACCAAAATTTTCCCAAACCCTCTGGGTCAAAATTTTTGTCAAAATCGGATTTATTGACCTCTATTTACTATTAGGACAAAATTTTAAATATTTTGTAAATTCTGTAAAATTTGTCAAGATTTTGTAAATTCTGTAAAATTTGTCAAGATTTTGTAAATTTTGAAAAGATATTGGAAAATTTAAAAATTTGTTTAGTTTTTAATTTTTCTAAAATTTTCCAATATAAATAGTGCAAAATGACTTTGAAGGTATGCTGCAACGTCGCAAAATTCCTTTCTTCTGGGATTTTTTGAAAATTTGTCAAAACCAGAAAAGAATTAACAAAAAAATGTTGAGAACAAATTAACCGTTTTATTTTTAATTTTTTTTCAAAATAAATTCCCAGGTTCTGTGAATTTTTGGAAATTTGGCAACACCAAAAAAAGGTTTCAGACAGGTCCGCCCATTTTTACTCATAAACAGATTTTTTTTCTTTAAAAATTTGATTTTGAATCCATTGGCATACGAGTTCCCTTCACCTTAAACGTCTCCTGCCCGTTCCGGGCAAGCTAAAATGACGAGGTAAAATAAAAAGTTAAAATGAAGAAAAAATAAAACACAAGCTACAGTGACAAAAGTTATAAAAAAAATTACAAAATTTCTTAAAAAACAACTTTCCGAAGATTTTGAAAATTTCCAGGTTATGGAAGTTTTTTCAGACAGATCCGCCCATTTTCACTCATAAACAAATTTTTTTCTTTTTTAAAATTCGATTTCGAATCTATCGGCATACGGGTTCCCTATACTATAAACGACTCCTTCTGCCCGTTCTAAAATGACGAGAAGGTAAAATAATAAAATGAAGACAATTTAATATATCAATCTAGAATGACAACAAAGTAAAATGACAGGGTAAATTGACGACAAGCTAAAATAACAAGATAAAATGACGAGAAGGTAAAATATCGACAAGCTGAAAGGTAAAATATCGACGATGTCATTGAAGGTAAAATGGCGATGAGGAAAAATTACAAGCTAAAATAAAATAAGACCAAAAAAAGTAAAAGTTTAAAATAAATTTTAAAAAGGCTAAAAGTCAGCATTTAATATAATGTAACGCCGACGCACAGTGTTTCAATTCTCGAAAATATCGACAAAACCTCAAAAATTGAAAAAAAAATTCAGGTAAATTTTGAGTTAGATGGGTAGTTAATACCTGTCTCCATCATTGAAAAAAAATTATATAAAATACGTATATTTTGTCTTGTACATCAGTTTAAACTTGACGCTTTCAGTTGAAGGTACTTTACACGCGATCGCTGCGGAAAATTGTTTATTGTTTAAAAGTGAATAAATTGTTGTTTGGTGTGTCCAAATGTTATGCGGTTTGATGAAGGGTGATCTTCAAGGTATGTAAAATTCAGATATGTATTTGTTTTTCGTATATTTTGCTTGTTGAACGGGTTATTGTAACCGACAAGATCGGTCTGTTAAAATCGCAAATTTGAATCGAGCTTTTAGAACAATGGAGCTACAAAAATTGTAATGAATTGTAAGGCATCAGTTCAAGATCCGTTGAATAGCTTAGAGTTTTGTCTATCAAGCCATCAATAAATTATCTGCCCCAACTCGCCCCCGGCTCTTTAAAACCACATGTTCTTTGGCGCTCAGGCACGGATGTGGTAAAAAACCTCACGATTTTAAGCCTATGTCACGAGCGTATCTGTGTTTTTGCTTTACAAAATAAAAGATTTTTTTTATTTCTGGGTTGCGTTCATGACGTTTACTCGATTCACTCAGATTTAACTCAAATCGTTTAATACAACAGCGGTGTCTAGACTTACACTTGCGTAAATCGTTCGTGACTACTAAGATATTTAACACCGATTTTACATATTTAACCCACATCTTGTAGGTGTGTTAAAACAAATCCGCATGCGCATTGTAGTGTGTTAATGTCAAATTTGAATTGTGGTTATTTGTGTTGATAATTTTTTTAGCGAATCCAGTGACGGAGATTGTTTAATATGTATGTAGGTATTAAATAATATCATATAAATGTAATTATAATAAACTAAATTAAGCTATTTTATAAAAAGATGTTTTATTTACATTTTAAAAAGAACCTCTTACGGGTTTTTAATTTATTTCGACAATTTTTTGATAAAAATGTCCGCCATTTTGAATTTTGGAATTCTGATTCCAGATTCACTACCAGCGACCACAAAAACTCATGTGTGGCGATTTTCAATTTATTCCGTCAATCTTTTGACAAATATGTCCGCCATTTTAGATCTACCATTTTGAATTTTGGAATTCTGAACCTCTATATACGGATTTTTAGGAGAAACCGACTACTCCTTGATATTTTGCCGAAAATTTCGAGATTGACTAGTGGTTAGTGCTGCTGACTACAAGCCAAAAGGTCGTGGGTTCGAATCCTACCAGGGGTATGGGGGTATGGCTGTTTATTTGTGTTTGTCCTATTGTATATTAGTCCTTCGAAGGGGACTTTAAGCCCGCGGTCCGTTCCTACACCTAACCCGCTCAAGCGATTCAGTTGGCTTCTGGGACTTCTTAGCACTTTTGTAACGTAATTTAAAGTAATTTAACAAAAAATTGTGCCATTTATACAACATTTAGTACAAGTTTGTAAGCAAGCGCAAACCGTTGGCAAGTGGTTGATAAGTGATAGCATCTGAGGACACCAACTCTATTAATTGATCATTCATTATGATATAATGAATTCATTAATGATAATTATCTTCATCTTCTCCAATAAGTAGATAATTACATAATTTTTAAAAATAAATATATAAAATCTGACATAATATTATTTTAAATCGTTAACCTCTCTTTTTACCAATTTAAATCCCGATTGGTTCAAATCACAGAGAATATCACTGTCGCCGAACAACGTGAATTCTGAGTTGATTATTCCCGTTGTTAGACAGGGCATTTATAATGTTTATCGATAATCATTATCCACGAAAAAACCCAATATAATGCAATAGAAGTAGATAAAGTATAGTATTACACTCGAGATTATGCGCATAATCTCTCGTAGAATAATATACTATTACTTTTAAGCACCAAACACAATACCACTATTGGAAATTTTGTTGTTGCAAATAAGGTTGGTATTACGCTGCTGCGCACGTGCAGATTCATTTTCATGTAATAAAATTTAAGAAAAGTTAAAAGTTGGCCAACTTTTCATTACCTTACTCACAGTATACTCTCTATAGAGATACCTACGAAATTATCGATAGTATAGTATAGGCACTATCGATAAATTTCGATACGCAAAGATTATAATTATAAAGTTGGCCTTACGTTACGTTACATGCAGTTTTATCTTTTAAATTAAATTACGTTACATTACATTAAATGCTGGCTAAATCCACCTTAAAATAGTAATGTAAATTGAAAAAAAAAACAAAGCGGTTTGTTTTTTCAGAAACATTGTTTTCTTTAACAGAGATTCTCTGTTATACTCGTATATTATTGCCACAGCCGGATTAAGAGTTTTGAGGCCCCGGGGCCGACATTTGGTGGGGGCCCTCAATATTTCTAAAAATTTTGACACTTGGGAAATTAAAACTCATGGTAATTTTTTAAGCTGGAGGAACTTTACGTGATTTTTGAATCATTTATTATTTAATAAACCATATAAATTTTAATAAAATCGGCCAAAGCGTTATAAATAAAAAACTCTGTATCTCGATAATGAAGCATTTTCGGACACGTGTTTATAGGAACTTTTTTCATATACCACACCACAAGTCTGATATTTTAAATAATAGAAACATAACCTTATAAGGTTATGTTATATATGTATATTAACAGAGATTCTCTGTTATACTCGTATATTATTGCCAGAGCCGGATTAAGAGTTTTGAGGCCCCGGGGCCGACATTTGGCGGGGGCCCTCAATATTTCTAAAAATTTTGACACTTGGGAAATTAAAACTCATGGTAATTTTTTAAGCTGGAGGAACTTTACGTGATTTTTGAATCATTTATTATTTAATAAACCATATAAATTTTAATAAAATCGGCCAAAGCGTTATAAATAAAAAAACTCTGTATCTCGATAATGAAGCATTTTCGGACACGTGTTTATAGGAACTTTTTTTTATATACCACACCACAAGTCTGATATTTTGAATAATAGAAACATAACCTTATAAGGTTATGTTATATATGTATATTAGGGTGTCCCTTATTTTTATTTTTTTTACGCATACCCTCTAGTTATATTTATTACTTGTTTATATACTCCCAGTAAAAATTTTAGCTCATTCTATAAACGGGAACCCGTGCCAACTTGCATCTGAACCCTCCATTAGCCAACGTTAGGCGCGCGGTATTTTGTAACACGGTTGGCCGCTAGGTCTTCGATCGTAAGTCATTTTGTGTTTGTTATTATGTGACCCTTATATTATAAATTATTAAAAAACGTTAAAATATGGTTTTATTTATGTGTATACTTTAATAAAAATGAATATTTTTACAGGAAGTGGCTAGTTACCCGGAAGTGTCGGGTGAATAGGCCGTAAAACTAATTACCCGAAACTCTTTTTTTTATTATATCTGAATGACCATTAAAAAATAACCATAAAATTTTTTGTTGATTTTATCCCTTAAATATATTAATATACTAATTAGTATTGCTAAAATATACTGTTATATGAAATTTCAGCTATTTATAAGCATTTCTTTTCTTTGTGTCCTCCCAAAAATATTTCAGACAGTTCAAT